AGGTGGCACGCGGCGCGGTTGAGGTGCAGCGACGCGAGCAGGGCGCGCTGGGCGGCGACGTCGGCGGGGGAGTCGGCGACGCCGTCGTCCGGGTTCCGCGTCGTCTCGCCGCAGGCGCGCTTGCGCTCCTCGGCGGCCAGCAGCGCGACGCCCTTGGCGTAGAACTCGCGGGCGTCGGCGTACCCGCGCACCTTGAAGCACTCGTTGCCGCGCTCCTTGAAGCCGGCGCTGTTCTCGAGCGCCGAGCCCTCGTAGTCGAGCGCCTGCAGCGCCGCAATGTCGTCGTTGTCCTCGAGCTCCGTCATGAACAGCGGCGACTTGTTCAGGTCCGCGAGGATCTCCGCCGTCGTCATGCTGCTGTGGAGCGCCATGCCGGGCGGCAGCGGGGGCTTGGTGACCGCGGCTGCGTCCGTGGCCGAGCCGCTGGGCTCTTTTGCTTTCTTTTGGGACGACGACTGCTCTTGGAGGCTCGCGGCGCTCATGAGCTGGGTTGTGAGTTCTTCGAGTTGCATTCTGGCGGTTGGGGCGGGGCTGCAGCCCTCTGGTTTCAAGTCCTTGGCCGTTCTATAAAAATGGAATGCTTTATTTTCTTTTTCGGTCTAGAAAGAATCAAACGAGAAGAGGCGGATTTGGTATCAAGGATAGACTGAAGAAGCTTGTTGTCGGAGAGAGGTCGTTGATGACAAAAATATGGGTTCTACAACAAGCAGCCGGCTAAAATTTTCGGTGGCGACGTAGACCCCAAAGGTTCGCCTGCGCCGCGATAGCTGCACTTCTCAAGCAAAAATATTACAGCGATATTCATATTATTTTTAAGAGAGACTTTACTTACGAGGTGAACTTGAGAATACACGCAACCAATTACAATTACTCCTGTCTAATCTATGTAAATGCCTGCCTCGTTGTATTATGAGGGAAATCCACCTGAGGTGAATGAAGGAAACGAGATACACCTTTTCAAAGCCAAAAAAACAAAAAAACAAACGCCGAACCATGTAAGATTATGTGCTCCGAAATGCAGGCGCCATGGGAATCGTGAGAGCCATTATATACATCAAACTTGAAACAACGCGCAATGAGAAAAAGAAGCAAAGCGCAAACCAGAGAAACCAACTACTTCGAGCATGTCGTCAACTGCTAACTGGATCAATGCATTCAACAGGTTGAGACTGGGTTTCCTTACCAGGAACACCCAGGCCAAGAGCTGCTCAATCTCATCAACGGGGGATAGTGGGCAATGGCGGGACTTGCCGGCCTGCAATGATAGGGTTCTGAGTAGACACGAAATGTCTACTCTCTGTCATCAACTGAAACTTCAGCTGCGACCTGGGTGTTTTTGACAGCGCTCTCTTCCGATCGATCAACTCGTGATCGCGGAACAGAGAAGCACTGGATGGATCCGGCTATAGCGACAATAACGCTGCCATACCAAGCCAGTGCGGTGCATTCCATCTTGCTACCAGCGGTATACAGGTAGCCTGCAATAGGAGGTGCGATCATGCGGCATGCTGCACCAGCGCTAGCAGCCAGACCATTCACCTTGCCTAGAGCGCTCCGAGAGGGAGTAGCCTCCTTGATGAAGATGAGGAGGAGGGGGTAGAGGGTGATGGAGAGAATGTTTCGCACTGCCAAGCAAGAGTAGATGGCGGGGAAGAGCATGTATTCGGGAACGTAGAGGAGAAAGGGGACAATCGCGTAGACGATGGGGTGGAGCACCGTAACGATGATGAAGAGTCTGTACACACCGAGTCTCTCCGCGGCGAGAGGGAAGATGATTGCCTGGACAAACAGGGCAATGACTCCGTTGACGGCCATGATGAGGCCGACCTCACGAAGAGAGAGGCCCAGGCCACCGGGGGAGTAGAACATTGAAGATGTGCCAACATCGAGCAAGGACACAAGTGTCGACGCTCGCTCATCTTCAAAGAAGATGGGCATGAGATGTTCGTACGTCATGGAGTGGTAGGTGAAGATGCAGAGGGCGATGATGAAACCGACGACGCGCTTGTTCCATACGGGACCAATGAAAAGTGGCTTTTCTTCGAGATCAACATCTTCTTGGCTTTGTTCGCTGGTCTCTCGCAACGTTCCGTAGGTGTCTGCGCGCAGGTCGACAGCAGGGCGCTTCATGGCATCCGAGGTTTCCATCAGTGGTGTCTCTTCCGAGACGTATGTGTCCGCAGGGAGAAACACTCGGGGCTGCATATCAGGGTGCGTTTCCTCGAGAAGGAAGATGCCCAAAATAATGCTGATCAAGAGCAGAAATGCGCAAAGAAGGTTGGGCAGCAAGTATGGGAAGCGGCCAAAGATGCCATGACGAGGGAACAGACCGGGCCAATTTTCGGCTGGATCCGCAAATGTGCCACCGATGCAAGGGCCAATAATGGTACCGACGCTCCAGACAAAAGGCATGACGGAGAATGCTTTGGCTATTGAGGGTTAGCCTCTGACCTTACCATAGGCATTAGGGGGACTAAATGAGAGTGGCAACGTACGTTCATGTTCAGGCTTGGTAACAAGCTCGCCAACCATGGTCTGGATGACACCAATATTTCCATTGAGGAGACCACCAAGAGCACGCCCGATCAAAGCAATCCAAATATTGGAGGCGAAGCCAACCATTACCATGCTAAACATGGTGCCAACACAGCCGAGAATCAGGACGGGCTTGCGGCCGACTCGGTCAGAGAGGCCGCCCCAGTACATGCCCATGACAGCCTCTGCCAGAGAAAAGGCCGAGATGAGGATACCGGAGTAGAACGAGGCATCTTGCTCTTCACCAAAATTGAATTGCTTGACAAGGGCCCAGGCATATGGGTAGATGGAGGTAAGGGCGATTGGTTCCGCGAGACGGACAATGCCTAGAGGTGTGGGTGGTTAGCGCGGGTGTGTGCCTAGGGGTCCAGGGGGGTGGGGGGTGGAAGTCAAACACGGGCCTTACCTAGCAGGAACAGCTGCAGCGTTGGAAAGTCATCAGGATTTCGAAGATGTACCTGCTTTGTTAGGGCCATATCTTGGCAACGCGGCAAGAGCTTACGACAGACAACACAGGCACTCAAGTGTAGAGGGCAAGTGCGTGTGTTGTTGTGCGTAGGGGAAAAAAGATGCTGGGTACGGCGTGTGGTGTGGGAGGTCGTTGTGAGGGTGGCGTGGGGTGAGTGGACAGGCAGAGTCACGTCAGGAGCCGCGAGGAACGATTGCTCGGCGACGCGCTATGGGAAGCAAATGGAAAGAGGATTTTTGAGGAGAAAATGAGTACAATGCACTGCAGAAACAGTCGACAGTCAACAATGACAACAATGAAGATAGAAAGGAGAGAGAGGAGGGGAGCGAGGTCTTGGTGGGAGGGAGCAGAATATGAAGGACTGGCGGCTTCGGCAAACACAGTAGTAAGTCACACTGTCGAATCTGGTGGCGTTGCATAAGTCGAGGTTACAGGGGGAGACGAGGTGGATGAGGTGCTGAAAGACTCCAGTTTCCGGCGCCGGAGCGTCGATAACGGGGCTTGTCCTGTTTGCAGTGACGTCCCGGCTTGTCCAGGCTGAGCCTAGGAGACATGTGCCCCGCTAAAAAGTTGCTGTACCGAGACGGCTAGTTAGAGGCAAGACATTCGCGAGCAGCCTCTCTAGAACCCCTTTAGGCTTTAGGCAAGCAACGAGGAACACGCTGGCGGGTAGCCCACTAAAAAATTCTCTCGCCGCATGCCGCCACTAATACTAGCCCCTCCGGTTTCTGCTCCGAGCGGCGTCTGTCTGCTTGCGACGACCCTTGGCCTTCGTTCCTCGTTCCAAGTCAATAGCGAAAACGCATGCATGCACTCTGCAAAATGCCACAATGCTTCGCAGGGGTTGGCATATGCGCCACGTGCAGTTTGATCGGGCCTGTTCCGCGAATGCATGCTTTGAGGCACGTCCTGCATCGAACGGCATCTATTCGTCAAGTTAGCAGACGAGAAGCAATGAGGGACTACGTTGACGGAGCATCAGGAAATGAGCTGCCAGCTGCCAGTTGCCAGCTGAACAAACAGAAGTGAGCTGCCAGCTGGCAACAACTGGTGGGCAACACAAAACACCAACAGATAGGTAGGTACCTTAGTCGGTACCTATATAGATAGGTAGGTAGGTATGTACTAAGGTAGTTTAACAACTACTACTCCCCATCAGGATTTCTCGCACCTATCTGCTAACTATACAGAGGCCCAAGCAATAGAATCATGCTATCGCTACTCACCTCCGTGTAACAGCATCGGGAGATCGGCAAGTCTGTCTGCAAGTGCTGTAGGTAATAGGCCCGGCTTTGTCTCACCCAGGCACTGATAAACCGTCTCCCGTGCCCGAAAGCCGCCCCGCGCCACCTGCCTGGCGCCACGCCCTCGAGGCCACCGCTACTCTGTCCCATGCTGTACGAGGAATGAGCTCTGCAGCTGTGCGGCATGGTGCAACCTAGCACCTATTAACGGCCAAAAACAAATCCATTTGCCTTCATTGCCTCATCTCGTATGATTCTTCCGGCTATTCTGTCGTCCTCTGCAACTGCCCCTCCCTGGTTATTATTTGTTTACCTTATCTCATAGGGGACCGACCCGCTAGCGCAACGCTGAATGGACCCTCTACGGTGTAGCTGCATACAGTGCGAGTGCTGCTGGGGATAGACTGTATAGTCTGCGGCGAATTTATAGGCCAATTTGCATACCTGCTGGGCCTCATCCTCGCCTCCACCATTCGAACCTCCGACGGCTGTGGCTGCAGAGGGGCAACGTAACAACGTAAAGCCCACAGTGCCACGAGTTCTAGAGCACCCCTCCACTGTCGTGTGCCCACTTTGCCGTTGGTACCCGTAGGTAGGTAGGTAGATAGGTAGGGAGATACCTGCCATTGCTAGCCACACCACGCATGCTACAAGTAGCTCAGTAACTACCCCGCCAGCTGCCCTAGTACAATGTTAGTACTGCCATTCGTCCCCAGCTGCCCACAGCTGCTGCCATCCCCGCGATAGCATCATCCATATCAGTATCTATGGACATGGACAGTCAAGACGGCATCGGCGCATCGCCTCCCGTCTCCGTATCGCCCGACACCAGGCAGGTTGACAATGCTATTCGTGCCATCCAACACAAGAAACCATTACCCACTATCGACTTCTCCGTGCATACCCTGGACGATGGTACTCAGGTTAGCACCAAGGAACGCTTCTGCAAAGGTTAGAATGCGTCCCTGCAGATGCTACCCCTCCGCCGCACCCTCCACGGCAGCTTCCTATCCGCCCATATCGGTATCCCCCGCAAACTAGCCAGTAGCTGATGGTCATCTATCTCCGTAGACGTGCAACCGCCGGCTTGGGAGCCTCTGTCCGACGAGCAGTTCTACCAAGACGAGGCGCGCACGAAGCCCAACCTCAAGGTCCTAAAAGACCATCTCTTCCGCGAGGGTCGACTCACCGAGGAGCAGGCGCTATTCATCATAAATACTGGCTCTGAGCTGCTCCATGCCGAAAACACGTTGCTGGAAATCGAGGCGCCCGTGACGATATGCGGCGACGTACACGGCCAATTCTACGATCTTGTTAAGCTCTTCGAAGTTGGCGGCGACCCAGCCATCACGCGATATCTCTTCCTCGGCGACTATGTTGACCGTGGCTTTTTCAGCATCGAATGCGTCTTTTACCTTTGGTCCCTGAAAATCCACTATCCCAACACCTTTTTCCTACTCCGGGGGAATCACGAGTGCCGTCATTTGACCGCCTATTTCAGCTTTAAACAAGAGTGCGAGCATAAATATTCCGTCACCATCTACGATGCATGTATTGAGTCGTTCTGCAATCTACCGCTATCCGCTGTCGTCAACAAGCAGTTTCTCTGCATACATGGCGGATTAAGCCCCGAGCTACAGACGCTGGACGACCTCCGACAGGTATGTTGCCATACACTGTTTGAAACAAAACATCGCATTTCTAATCCATCATGAACCTGTAGCTTGATCGTTTCCGCGAACCACCCACTCACGGCTTGATGGCCGATCTGCTTTGGGCGGATCCTGGTGAAGATTTTGGCGAAGAGGATAACAACCACTTCTTTCGACATAATGACGTCCGAGGGTGCTCATATTTTTACACCTACCATGCGGTATGCGACTTCTTAAATCGAAACAACCTCCTGTCCGTCATTCGAGCGCACGAGGCACAGGATGCTGGATACCGCATGTATCGCACCAGCCATAACACTGGCTTTCCAAGCGTCATTACACTGTTCTCAGCTCCTAACTATATCGACATGTATAACAACAAGGCGGCTGTGTTGAACTACGAGAACAACGTTATCAACATCCGCCAGTTTAACCATACCGCTCATCCTTTTTGGCTCCCAAATTTTATGGATGTCTTCTCATGGTCGCTACCGTTCGTGGGCGAGAAAATGATGGACATGTTGATTGCTATCCTAAGCATAAGCTCAGACGAAGAACTTACTGAAGATACAAGCTCGTCTTCTCCCAGCGCTGTCACGCCTGTCATTCATGACACCGAATCACTCGAGTTCAGGAAGCGAGCGCTCAAAAATAAGATTCTTGCCATTGGTCGACTTTCGCGCGTCTTCACGGTATTGCGACAGGAATCAGAGGGAGTCTCGGAGCTCAAGTCTGCATCTGGCGGTCGCCTGCCCGCTGGAACCCTCATGCTAGGTGCTGAAGGTATCAAGAATGCCATTCAAAGCTTTGACGCGGCGCAGCAAGTCGACTTGGAGAATGAAAGACTGCCTCCGTCTGCCGACGAAGTAACTCGGCAGATGGACGAAGAGAGGAGCCGCGCACTGGCCCAGGCGATGAAGGATGCCGATGGTGATAAGAAACTCCAGGCGCTCTCAAGAAAACTTAGCGTGTAAGTCACATCCCTACCAGGAAAAATGCTAGAGTGCTGGGGAATGCTTTGCTAAAGACTTGCCAATCTAGGGAACGGAAGTAATAAACTGGAACCCGTGAGAGCTACAAATAGTGGTATAAGAAAACGACGACGGAGAAGTACTCGCCTCCACACGGAATGGTCCACGCAACCCAGATGCCGTGGTCTAAATACTGTAAAATGGATAGAAAAAATACTCATCTTATCACTGTACGCGTTCCAGGGCTTCCTTGTACATGTTTGCCTCAGCATGCATATCCGCAGGCTCCCGCGGCTCGCGGCAGGCATCCTCCACCCGGGGCATGCCACCGCCCGGCTCCGGTCTTCGCGTGACGTCCCACAGCGCGCCGCCGACGTTGGCCTCTTCGGATGCCATTTTGACGTAAATTTCATCCACAGCCTCGCCCTCACCCATGTCGCCCGCGACGCGCGGGATGACGTGGACGTGGACGTGCGGCACCGTCTGGCCGGACTCGGGCCCGTCCTGCACCGCGACGGTGAAGCTGCCCCCGTCCTCGGGGCGGTCCGTCTTGAAGTACACGCGAGCCAACATGCGCTGCACGCGCTGCACGGTCTCGAACAGGTCCGCCGTCTCGGCCGCCGAGAGGTCCGTGAGGCGCCGGTGCGGCCGCAGCGGGCAGACGAGGACGTGGCCGGGCAGGATGGGCTTGAGATTGACGACGCCAAAGCTGTGCTGCGTCTTTAAAAACACCTGGTGAACGGCGTGCGTGAGTACAAGGTAAAACTTCCGAGGCGTAAGATATGGGTATGATGGGCACGATGGGCAAGACGGTAAAGGGACAGGAGCGTACCTGTTTGGTGATTGGGAATGGGCCAAACTTGATCTCGGCGTTGGTCGACATGTTGAACCGCTGTGTTGTGAACGATGCCGATATTTTTGGCGCGGTAAATGGTCTCGGCTGGCGTGAAACGAGACGGAGGATCATGCTCAGCGCAATTACCGTGCGGAGCTTGATGGATAGATGAGGAGTCGCCAGAGTTGAAAGATGGCTCAGCACCAAGTGCCGCAAGGGTTGGGAGCTCTCAATTGAGAGACCCACATGAGGCATACATCTACAAACTACCAAGCTTGTACGAATACCTAGCCAGGCATCAATGCTAGCAAATGATCGGTTTTAGTTGTAATTGAAATATTTTTATCGTCGTTGTTCGTATTTCCGACCTTCTATGAAGTATGATGCGTCCCAATTCTATGCTAAAACACAATTGCCAATCCGATACTGCAATAACGCCTGTGACAATGTCTGAAAATGAAATGAAGGTATTCCCCAAAAGAAACTACGTCCATAGATATGGCAACAAGTAGAAAATCATATGACGATAGTAGTAAATATTAGTCTGGGAAGGGTGCTCTTGGCTCAGCGGATGAGCGGTTCGGTCTCGAGCGCCAAAGTCCCAGCCTCGGGCGTCTCGTCAGCAACAGCTTCGGGCGCCTCGTTTTCATGTTCCCAGACAACTATACTCGAGTTAGAAGGCCAATTCGTCATCATGAGATTTCTGTTTACTAAGAAGAAGACGTACCATGCGGGCGCACAACAAGAGTAGCAAGCAGTCCGACGCTAAAGAGAGCGAGAAGCATAACAAAGACGGCCTGCGGAAAGGTTTTGACAGACATGGCATAAATGCCGTTGAAAAGAACCGGGCCAACAACACGGGCGAGCGCATTGAGCATGCCGACGGCGCCGAGAACCTGGCCGACCGAGGACGGCGGGACGTGCTTGGTGATGGCGGACTGGATGGTGGCGCTGCCGAGGCCGCCTACTGCCGTAATCATGCCGCTGACGACAAAGAGTGGCTGGCTGTGTGCCAGTGAGTAGCCGATGGCGCCCAAGGTGTCGGAAAGCAGCGCGGCGCGTAGGGTCCAAATGTCCACATTGTCGGCGCCGCTCGTCTTCTCGACGTACGCCAGGCCGGTCTCGCGCTCACGGCGGCGGCGCGGCCGGACGCGGAACCAGTAGTTGACAAGGGGAAAGACGCCGAGCAGCACAATGACGCGGATCGAGGAGAGACCGGACACGAACATGGATATCTCAAACGTGTCCCAGTCGAACATGTACTTTGTGTAGAGGATGACGACGGCGCCGATGGAAATCATGGAGCCCATGATGACGGCGTCGGTGACGGCCAGGGCAATCAGGTTGATGCGCAGCCTCGGCGACGTGCCAGGGCCGGTCGGCCAGAGAATGGCCAGCGGCTCAAAGGGGTGGCTGTTGCGGAGGGTCGAGAGCCACGGCTGGGCGCTCTGCGCGCGCGACTCCCTTTCCTTGCTGTGCTTGTCGCGCGCAATCCGCTGGCGGCGGGCCGACAGCGACTCGGGCACGACGAAGCCGACAAAGGTGGCAAAGGTGGCGTGGCAGACGAGCACGACGTAGAAGAGGGTCAGGACGCTGCCGGTGACCTTGATGAAGTAGCCGGCGAGCAGGGGGCCGAGGGCGATGCCGGTGAAGAGGCAGGCGTGGAGGTAGCCCATGTAGACGGCGCGCTTCGAGGGCGGGGTGCAGTCGCTGACGTAGGCCTGGCCGAGGATGCTGCCGCTGGTGAAGGAGCCGGTGAGGCCGTCGAAGAAGGCGCCGAGCACGAGCCAGCGATAGTCGACGGCGGCGGGAAACTTGGCGGCGACGATGGTGACGACCTCGGCGAGGATGCCGCCGACCGAGGCGACGGCGAGCAGGCGGCGGCGGCCGAAGCGGTCCGACAGCTTGCCGAGCTTGGGCGCGCTGATGGCACTGAGCGTGCCCGTCAGCAGGTTCATGACGAGCATGAACTCGGCCACCTTGCGCTGCACGGCCGGGTCGTTGCACTGCGGGTTGTCGGCGCCGAGCACGGGCGACGCGTGGAACGAGGGGTCGGCGGCGGCCTTGTCGGCAAAGTGCTTGTTGCAGACGAGGTCGAGGATGCTGGGGCGCCACGGGTCAGCCTGGGGGCGATTTACTCTCGACGAATGGGAAACATGGCAGGTAACCAGGTCCGGATACTCACAGGGTGACTTTGGGGACAATGACGCCGCCAAAGGCGAGGGTGAAGATGGCGTAGGGGCCCATCAGCCAGAAGATGGAAGGCCGGCGCCAAAAGGGCAGGTGCTCAAACTCGGTCAAGCCGTCCCATACCGGCTTGTCGTATTCTTCGTCGGGCCCATTGGGGAGGAGCCGGGACGTCTCGTCGGCGTCTCTGGCGACATGGCCGTTTGCAACGGCGGCGGACCGAACGGCGGCGCCATTTCGCTGCACCATGACCGGCGGCGACGTGTACTTGGCGGGCTTCGTACGAGTGTGCTACCGGCGAAATTTCTGTACCACGTATGGAGGGGGGTGCGGCAGTCGGAGTCTGTTGGTCGTGAGGCTGGCCGCGGACCTGGATTCGGAAGCGATAGTGGAACAGTGGATTTGTATTCGTTAGCAGGACCGCGCAATCAGCCATTAAACGCAGTCATGGCAGACTGATGAAATGGCGATGCGAATAAGCTGGGAGAAAAATACATGGATATGGAAAGGACAAAGAAAAGGCGTTGGATGGGCGGACGAGGACTACCGTTAGGACGACGGAGAAGCCGGCCGGGAGACGGAACCGCGGCCTAGGCGTATCATGATGCGGCGGACTTGTTTGACAGGAGGGGGCGATTTGGTGGATGCAGAGGACATTTTAGTGCTCTTAGTGGCTGTCTTTTGCTGCCACAGCGCTGTGTGAGCTTGACAGCCTGTGTTCCAAACTTCCAGGTGTGTGTGGGCCTGTACCTAGAATGCGCTATAAGAGCTTCGCTAGCGCCCTATAAGATTGCCTTGTCGCCCGCTGATTGGCCTGACCCCCCTAGAGCAGCCCAGGTAAGGCAAGGTACCGGCTTGGTCTGCTAACTAATCCCACCGTCTGTCCATGCACTCGGGCCTCGAGACGCATGCTTGGGATGCTGTGTGTGTGTGCCCTGTCATGTGTACGGACCTCGCCGTTGCGTCGGCTTCGTCTTCCCCAAACTCGCCAAACTCCGCAACCTGCATCCGGCACGGCCATGTCGGTTGCCGTACCCCCTCGGCGCCCCATCGACTACCCGTCTTCGCCGCCCTGATGGTCGCCATCTATGACGCGATACTCTGGTGATTAGAAAGTGACAACGCACCGGTTATATTTCCTCATATTATCCTCGACCTTCGGCAGTTGCCAACACGTTGAGCTCATGCACCACTCTATGCTTACGTGGGCCTACCTAGGCCACCACACTTTGCATGTTATCAATGCTGGGGGTTTCAAATCAGACAAGAACAGCCACTCTTTCAATAGCTGCATTTATATCCCTACTGCTTCACAGGGGTGAATTAATACCGTCAAACTACCTAGGCTTTGACATGTCTTTGCCCAATCACTCAATCAACGTACGAAAGGACAATGAGCGTTCTGTACACACCACCCACCGGCCCTAAAAATGCACGCAAAAGTCCCATGCCCAAACACGTTACAAATAAATGAATAAAATTCAGCGCTCTTTCAATATGGAATTTATAATGGTACATCCCTCACGCAAGCAGGTGAAGCACGTCTGCATGCCAGCTGTCAGGTACCATCACAGCGAGCGGTACGTACCCGATGACTCAGCAACTCTCAACTCTGCGCGCCAGCTCCATCTTGATATTTTCTGTCCGGCGCGACAAGCGACCTGCCCACCCAGGCGACCATCCAGGCATCTCTAATTCATCACAGCCGCCACCATGCCTGTCGTCAAGGGTGGCGTGTGGACCAACATCGAGGATGAAATCCTCAAAGCCTCCGTCTCCAAATATGGCCTCAACCAATGGGCGCGCGTGTCTTCGCTGCTCGCGCGCAAGACCCCCAAGCAGTGCAAGGCTCGTTGGAACGAGTGGCTCGACCCTAGCATCAAGAAGATTGAATGGAGCAAGGACGAAGATGAAAAGCTACTGCATCTTGCCAAGATTATGCCCACACAGTGGCGCACCATTGCTCCCATTGTCGGGCGCACTGCCAACCAATGTCTCGAACGTTACCAAAAGCTGCTGGACGAGGCCGAAGCCCGCGAATCATCCAGCCTCGGGCTGATGGGCCCCGACGGCGGCGAAACCCAGGCACCCAGTGCTGACGATGTCCGGAGATTGCGACCTGGCGAGCTGGACCCCGATCCCGAGTCTAAACCTGCTCGACCCGACACCATTGATCTCGACGAGGACGAAAAGGAGATGTTGAGCGAGGCCAGAGCCCGTCTTGCCAACACCCAAGGTAAAAAGGCCAAGCGAAAGGCCCGAGAGCGCCAACAAGAAGAGTCACGACGCATGGCAACCCTGCAAAAGAGACGCGAGCTCAAAACGGCCGGTATCAATATCAAGGTTACGACGCGCAAGAAGGGCGAAATGGATTACAACGCAGATATCCCATTTGAGAAGAAGGCGGTTCCAGGCTTCTATGATACAACCGACGAGAAGACGCTCAACGAGGCACAGCTAAAGGCTTTTGATCCCCAAAAGCAGCTCGCAGGCAAGCGCAAAGGCGACGACGCTGACGAGGGTGAGAGGAAGAAGCGAAAAGGCGACAAGGAGAGCCAATCGGATACACAAAAGGCCGCCATCAAAGCCGGTCAAATGCAAAAGATACGAGAGGCCGAGCAGCTCAGCAAACGACGGGCGCTAAATCTGCCTGCGCCGCAGGTCAGCGAAGGCGAACTCGAGGAGATCGTCAAGATGGGCAAGATCGGTGAGGCTGCCAACACCAGGGCGAGACAGAGCGAAAATGACGCCACCCGCGGCTTTGTCAACACATACTCTACACTCAATAGTGAAACACCAATCCGCACACCCAGAGCGCCCGAGCAGGAGGATCATATCGCCAACGAAATCCGAAATATCCGAGCGTTAAACGAGACCAAATCTGCCCTTCTTGGCGGAGAGAACACTCCCCTGCACGAAGGGGCGAGCTCGACTGGATTTGACGGTATTGCTCCCAGAAAACAGACGACAGCGACCCCCAACCCAATGGCTACCCCTCTTACAGCCAATGGTGTCGGCGCAACTCCTGGCCGCCCCGGCCAAACACCAATGAGGACCCCTCGCGATACATTTGCGCTGAACCGTGATGGCGCCATGTCGGCAGTCTCGGCGACACCACGAGACATCCGAAACCGAGAGCTAGCCATCCGCAACGAGCTTCGCTCCGGCCTCGCAGCGCTGCCCAAGCCAAAGGACATGGAGTTTGAGCTGGAGCTGCCCGAAGAGCAAGCTGAGGCCATGACCGCTGAAGAAAGACAAGAAGATGCTGCGGACCGGGACCGTCGGGCACGGGAACGCCAGGCAGCCATTGACGAGCTAGAGCGACGACGCAGGACGCAAGTCATGCAACGCGACCTTCCGCGAGCACTGGTAGTTGATGTCTCGGCTTTGACAAAATACGCCAGCAGTCTGGAAAGCGAAGCCGAGTCGCTTATTGCGCAGGAAGCAGCAGCTCTGATAGCCAATGACGCTACCCAGTTCCCTCTACCCGGATCACAGCTCAAGGGAGCGGTCAAGCCACTCGTCTACATTGACGATGACGCGCTGGCCGATGCGCGTCTTCTCATCATGTCTGAGACGAAGAAGTTGCCAAGCTTTGAGAGCATTCAGGCCGCCTTTGCCGGTCGTGCCGCCGATGACACCCTACTTGGTCTCGGCTGCTACGCAGACGCCGACGAGGACCAGCAACAGAGCGCCATCAGAGCCTCGTTCCACGTACGTATACCCGTATTTGCTCTTTTTTTTTCCGGAACAAACTCTAACCACTTGCAGGTTTGCGAGGACTCCATCATGTCGCTGGCCGAACAGGGCGCCAAGCTCGAAAAGAAGCTGAGCCTCCACCTCGGCGGCTACCAGAAGCGCCAAAAGATGCTCAAGGACAAGACGGGCGACGCGGCCGAGGCGCTGGAAAAGGCGCGCATCGCGCTCAGCGGCTTCAAGACGCTGGCCATCTCCGAGGACGTTGCTATCAACAGACGTCTCGAGTCCCTGCGCGAGGAACTGGCCTTTGTCAGCCGTCGTGAACGTGAGGCGCAGGACAACTATCGCAGGGCAAAGGACGAGCTGGATGCATTAATAGCTGGGCGGGGTGCGAACGGGATACCATGATTAAGCGGTTGTACAACTTGTTGATTTCATTTCACTCTTCTTCTTTTTTTTTTCTCGTTTTCGGTCTTGGGACAAGAACTGGACATGGACAGGAATGCAAACTGGGTTTTGATCCATGGATCCTGTTTATTTTTTTCATGTATTCTATCTAGACCATGGCCAATACTATGCAAATGAACATAGGGCGAATTTGGTCAGTGCCACGCCGACTTGACATGCAATTTTGTCATCGCTCACAAACCACCTTTTCGTTCCAGTAAAAAAAAAGTAAACCCTCGGGGAAAGAAAGACTTTTGGTATTGCCTGCTCCATCTCTTGGTTGCTGGCCTACTTTGGTGCCGGCAGACGCTTGAGCTTGACGGGAACAATCAAGAAGAAGGAAATGACAGCCATGACGCTCGTGAAGAAAAACGTCAGGCGCAGCGTGGCCTCGTAGCTCTGAATGACCTGTTCGCGGTAGGGCTCGTGCAGCTGCGCCACGACGCCGACGGACCTCTGCACGCTGGCAATCACCTCGCGGCGGCGCGCGCCGTGGACGAGGAGACCGAGGTAGTGGCGCAGGGCCGTCTGGACGACGAGGCTGCTGGCGGCGACGCCGAGGACGCCGCCGAGGCTGCGCCAGAGCAGCAGGGTGCTGGTGACGACGGCCTGCTCGGGCTGGGGGCTGGCGGCGAGCACGGCCATGAAGGTGCCGGGGAACTGGAAGCCGGTACCGAGGCTGCTGGGGACGAGGGCGAGCACGTAGAGCGGCGGCGCGAGGCGGCGGCGGAGGAGCAGCAGCGCGAGGTTGCCGACGACGCTGAGGCCGGCGCCGAGGAGCAGCGGCCACTTGAGGCGCCGCGTGCGCGTGATGAGGAACCCGGTGGACACGCCGGCGACGGACGAGGCAATGGTTGGGAGCACGAGCCGCAGGCCAGACGTGGTGGCCGACGTGAGGAGGACGGCCTGGAAGTACAGCGGCCTTGTTTCATGAAGTCATCAGCAGGAGAGCTTTTTCAGGAGATTGGAGGCGGCTAGCTTACATATTGAAGAGAACCGCGTTGGTGAGCAGCGAGGCGATGAAGTTGCCCAATATGAGGTTGGCATGGGGCGTCTTGGTGATGAGATGCAGCGGCATAATCGGCCGGGCCGAGCGCGACTCAACCCAGAGAAAGGTGGGAAACGTCATGGCAAAGATGGCCAGGGAGGCGGCGACAATGGGGTGGGACCCTGCGCCGTCGTGTAAGTTGGAATGGCGCGTTGCCGTGTAAGTGAGAGGATCAAAACGTACAAGGAAGAATGGTGCCGCCAAGATTCTACAGCGCAGCCAATTAGTGTTTCCTGTCCGAGATGTATAGAGTTGGATTCATGGGCAGGGCCATATGCATACCACGCCGAGGATAAACGCCGCGGTTGCGGCCGTCAGCAGGCCGGAGCCAACGAGGTCAAACTCGCGGAGGGCCTGCACGACCGTCTTGGCCGGCTTGCCGCGGATGCCGATATCGCGTGGGATAGCCACCCACGAGGCCACAAAGATGACGACGAGCAGCGGCACCTGAATGCCAAACTCCCAGCGCCACCCGACCGTTTCCGCCAGCCAACCGCCGGCCGCGGCCCCAATCGCCGAGCCTGTTCCCCACGTGGCGTTGATGAGCGCCTGAAAAGAGCCGCGACGTCTGTGTATTTTTTATTTCTTTTTAGCGCTCGCCCTAACATGGGTTGGTAGTGGTCCCTGGACTCACTCAATCGGCACCAGGTCGCTCGTCATGATGCTCCCCAACGCAATGGCGCCGCCGGCACCGACGCCGCAGAGCGCGCGCGCCGCGACGAGGCTGCCCAGGGTCGGCGCGGCGGCGCACCAGGCGGTGCCGAGGGCGAGCGCGCCGACGCCGCCGACGAAGAGCGGCTTGCGGCCGAGGCTGTCGGACAGGCGGCCGAGCAGCGGCTGGCAGGCGGTCGAGGCGAGCAGGAACGTCGTGGACAGCCAGGCAGCGGCGTGGGCGGCGCCAAAGTGCGAGGTAATGACCGGGTGCGACGAGGCCATGACGGTGCTGTCGAAGCATCCGATGAAGAGAGAGCCGAGTATCTGCGCGAAGATGAGCCAGAACCGCGTCGGCGAGACGCCGTCGAGGAACAGCGGCGGCGCGTCGCTGTCCTGGTCGCTGCGGATGGTCCGCAGCGTCGCCGCGGTGTGGTTGAGGGCCTGCAACAGAGGCGACGTTTCGCTGCAGGCTTGCTCCTCGTCATTCTTGTCAGAGCTGTGGCGGCCCGGCCCGTCATCGTCCACCAGGGCCGTCGGCTTGGTGCCGTCGCCCGGCAGCAGGATGGGCTCCGGCGCGGCCTCGAGAAACGGCATGGTCGACGGCACTGACCGCGCAAAGGCGTCGAGGGGCCGGGCAGATGAAGAATGGTCGCGGGCTGTCATTTTGACTTGGTCCTGGGCGGTGCGGCTCTATTCACTCTCGGGGTAAAAGACGAAGAACAGAATCGGCTCGTTATGCAGCAAAAAGTGAGGCCTGAAGGATGCAGTGATGGCTTGCAGCGGCGTTGCACGTCTTACAAGAGCCTCGATCCACCAGCGATGCAAGTAGGAAAAGGAAAAGGCAGTACGGCGCCCCGTGACCCATGAAATGACAAAATGACAAAATAACGAGAAATAGCCCTACATACGGGTTCTGAAAATTCACATCCTTCCACTCGGGGTCCCTTCAAGGCTCGTCGGGCCCGAGTCCGAAGCGCTAGTCAACGCTTCACCAAGCTCGTCATCCCGCCCCGAAATTGCTAGCACGTTATCAACTCCACACGTTTCCCATTCGTCATTGGTGTGTAATCTGTAATCTCCTGATCTCTTTCTTCTTTCCATGTGGGGTTGCGCCGCCGTTGCAAGAGTGCAACGGCGGGGTCGCGAGACATTACCTGCATACATGCCACTGCATAGTCGCCGCGGGAGGACTCGAGCCACAAGACCACTTTCGGAATGCGTCCGGCGCAAAGCTGTTGCCGCCGCCGACGGCGTTGCATTGCCACACCCTATCGCGAATTCGAAATACCGAGCTCGTGGGATTCAACAAGCCAACTTACAGCACCCGCCGGCGTACTCGTTGCCAGCCATGGAGTACCCTGCCGCCTGCCAAGCGTTCTGGCCCGCTTCGTTGGTCATGATGGTGTTGCCTGGCGAACTGTGGCCGCGCCATAGGTAGGGCACGTCCAGATGCATTGCTGTGCTTTCTCTCCTGAAGAAACTACATTCTTGACCCATCGTAAAAGCATGGTAATGAGATGCAGTGTGTATGTACCGTCTATCCTATGTAAGTAGAAAACGCCCGTCACTCTCTTCTCCTATGTTCAATCCCAGCAGCTTCTAGAATCATGCCGCTTCAGTCTTTGTGCTGACCGACGCCGCAGACACCAGAATGCCGGCACCCGTGATGCCGCCGTCATGACAGGGGCTCAACACCACTCGGCAAGCGCCTCTTGAGCCAAATCGCTTGTCCATAAGCTCGTCAATAAATCGTTGGCAGTCTTGCAGGTAATCCTGAAAGTGCACAATACAGCCGCCCGTGTATCCAACGCCCAGCTCCTTGGCCGTTGGGGGCGCCTCTGCAGCGTTGGCAGGTAGCTCTTCTGAGAGCGTCAAAAGGGCCACGGTACCAGCCGCAATGACACCAGCGGCGCGAACCTCGATTGCCTTGGCGATCCTGTACAGCGCCTCGGCCAGGTGCTCCGTCCAGACGAAGCCGTCCTTGGCTGTTGATTCTGGCAGCTCAGTGCGCAGGCTGGCCAAAAGTTTGCCATGCTCGAGAGGCTTGAAGTGACTCAAGAATGTGGTCGATAGACCATGACGTTCTAGCAAGGCACAAGGCAACGTGTCTTGGGCAATGCATAATGTCTTGACCATGTAATCCACCAGCATGATTCGTCCGAGCTCACCCAGGTATCGTCCGGCCGACATGTACTCTAGCGGCTGGAAGCCAGGAATCTCCGTCTGAGCAGAGAGTTGGTCGTCCCACGGTGTAATGAGACCAAGTTTTCGCATGGGGGGCGCAGTACCGTTGATACTCCACTCCGTGTTGACGGCGATTTTGACGTTGCTGAGGTTCTCGCCATCTAGAACATTAATATTCCTGGGCCATTTGCTTTGGTGTAGCAGGTTAAGTCTAAGTGGTACCGTCGCATTGGAACCGGTGCCTAGAATCAGTCCCATGCTGGCGCGCTGGTTTGAGGATCCGCCAAAGTTGTATATGAAGGAGACGAGCGTGGACACGGAATCGTTTGAGATGGCCGTTACTTTAATCTCGGGTAGGTAGGCCGGTTTAGATTCGGCGTATCCTTTCTCAAGGCTGACTCCAAGATCGGTATTCGGGGGCATGGTAAAGCCTTTGCCCATTGAAGTCACAGTCGCTTCGGCTAAGGAATGCTGCTGGGAGGGGAAGCTAAACGTCACACCCATGGGCAGCGACTCGGTCCTGGAAAGATCAAGCTCGTCGTAGGCATCGCCAACCACTTGGGCAATATGTCTACCGATCCAGCGAAAGAGAGCCTCTGCGTTGTCGTTTTTGAGTTGGTTGTCTATCGGCCAGGACTTTTCAAAGAGGCGTCGGATGCGGCTTGGAGGTGTATGCAAAGTGCCCTTTGCAAGCGTAGCTCCGTTGATTGCATCAACACCATGTGCGCCGTTTGCGTCATTCTTCTGGACCGCGCCTTGCTGCTTCCCAAGAAGCTCGATGAAGCCAACTCTGAGATTAGTTCCACCACTTTGTGTCATTAGTAACAGTGAGGAGTCAGCCCGGCGCCGATTACGTACATGTCAATGGCGAGATTCCTGCGGCATGTTAGAAAATGTGAAATTGGGAGAAGACATGGCGGCTCACCTTCCACAACCAGTGTCGGCAATGGGACGCAGGATGGCATCGGATATCGGGGTTGGGAGGAACTGGTCGGTGGGATTGGCCGCCAGCGCCTTGAAGCAGTCGAAAAAGCCGTAGGTCAAAGCATGACAGGTTTCGAGGTCGATTTGGATAGGCTCAAGGAATTTCTCCAACAGCTGATCTTGCGCGGCCATGACGAGCTTTTTTAGGAGTGCGTCGGGTATGTGTGCAAGGCTGCGCGTGACGTGGGGTCAATGTTCATCTTGACAGACAAGACGAGTCGGGCGGGGTTGTTTTCGCCGCGAGGTCAGCAGCAGCAGCGGCAGCGGCAGCGGGTTGCAGATGAGAATTTCAAGCCTCGAGGCGGCAAAAGTCAAAAGCCGAGACGGAGTGGCCAAGCCTGCGCCGGGATGGGGTCAAGGAGTTGCGAGGTAAATAAAGTGTGACGATGGATGGAGAGCGTCTCCATAAAAAAGTACAGACGTCACCCAACACGCCGTACGAACCAAGTATAATGATGAAAGGGAAAAGAGGAAGCCTGGCGCGGGGGAGGGCGGCGATCTACCCAGTAGGGGTCGTTTCTCTTATATGATGATGACTGCGGCCGAGGGCCGTGCCAGCGTCTTTGGGAGCCCAAGTGATGAGGGTATTCGCTAAGCCCCCGCAACACCAAAAAGCAGGATGCCAGGCCAAGTGGAGTGCGAGCTGGGCCGGTACCTGGATAGAGAAGGTGATGGGCACGGAAAAGACAGCAGGGGCAAAAGGTCTGGGCCAATGCCTATGGCATGAGCATCTTCGCTCGCATCTGCGAGTGCAACGTTTCTTGGGAGATGAGATGGGGTGGTGGTGGTGGTGGTGGTGGTGATTTGGCGGCGGCGGCGGCGGTTGGCGTTGGTGGCTCCCTCGCTCAGCCGTCGGGTCGTCATATCCGGGATAAGGCGTTGTTCAGCTCGGCAAGGCGATGGCGAGGGACAAGAGGCAGATAAGCTGGTGTGTGTCTGGATGACCGAGGCAGCCAGCCGAGTCTTTTGAGCAGGCAAACGCGGGACGGCAGCGATGCAACCATCATATATATGTGCATGGTACCGGTCAAGGTCGGATGGCTTGGTGATGCTGCTGGAAGCCGGCTGTTTCGATTCGTTAACATGGAAGGGGGTAATATCGACGACAGCCAGCTTGCCAGCGTGCGTCGGTGGTTGATGAATCGAGTAACTAGAGTGGTGCGTTGGTGGTGGGGAGCTAGAGGAGCCAAGACAAGATCTACGGCATTATTTTATACCTTACTATTGCATAAATTAAACATGGAATTGAAGTTAGTATACTAGTATATTACTATATAAAATAATTTTTATAACAAGGCCTAATATCTTGATCTTCTAACTAGATTTTTTTTTAAATCATTTTATATATAAATTTTCTATATAATATTTAGTATACTTTATAAGAAAGTTACTTGGAGGTAAGTTTCCTAGGTAGTCCGTGTACCCCTCATAAGTTGAACCAGCTACAAGGCGTTGATATACTAAATCGACTGCTATTATGATCCTTCTACCCTTCAAGGATGGACAACTCTCAACCTTGGAGATAAAACTGCGCGACTTGCATATCATTGTGCTCGCTCAACCATTTTAGACCGTGCAGCCACTTGTTGTTGACCCAATCCTGACGCATTTTGACGTCTAGCAGCGAGCGAAAGGCCACCGCCTCCTTGGAGAAAAATCCTGATTTCGTAAAAAGGTGCTTGGGCCATTTGTTCGCACCTTCCGAGTCTTTACCCGCTTGCGTTTTTGCCACTTGTTCAACAACCTCAGCAAATCGCCGCCCAAGCTGCTCCCGCTTCAATACTGCGGGGTGTGCGTCAACAACTCCTGGGACAGCGCAGCTGACGCCCATCAGATACGGGAAGCGGTAGAGGCCCGCATCAGGCACCGAGATGACAGAGTCCCAGTCAATGACGGCGAGTACGTTGAACTCGCGATCAACAATGACGTTATTCGGATTGAGATCGTAGTTGGCCAGGCCAAACCCCTCGCCAGAGTCATCTCCCACTCGCGTCACAGGAGATGGAAAGGAAGTAGCGAGGGAGCGGAATGCTTGCACCAACTCCTCTTGCCCGCTGACGGGCTGCTCGCCGAGGCTTTTACTCAGCGCCAGAGGGTAGTCGGCGTAAAACTCTGCAGCAGAATCGTACGGCCCCGTGCCTGTTTCAACTAGCTGTCCCACGACAAACGAGTCTGAGCCGTCTCGGATGATGGAGCCGATTTTTGGTACCCGGATCGAGGCAAGCTGCATCATGAACTTGGCCATTTGCTGCCAGAATTTCTCCTCAAACTGCGCTGGGATGCCTTCATGCTCGCCAGGATACTTTTGAGACATTTCTTCCGCGGTGTTGCCATGGACGTATTCGATCATGGAAAATGGGCATCCAACTGCGTTTTGGGCATTCGAATCCCAGGCGTAGACTCTTGGGATTGGAATGTCCGTGTTCTGGCTGCGAAAAGGCTTAGCACTATGAGAGAGGGATCCGTAACTAGCGTACTTGCCGCACAAATTCCATCGTGGCAAGTTCCGACTGCATTTCTACCATGATGCTCTCCGGGGAGGCCATCACGCTGCCCTCTTCCGGCATCGGAGGCATCCGCAGCCTCACAACCCACTCAACGCCGTCGTCAAACTGGATCTTGCGCACAAGATTAAAATGTCCTACGGAAAACTCGCGAGAAAGAGTGCATGGTTGCTCCCCCCGAAGCAACGAGGCGTGCGAGAGCAGGGCTTTTTCGTTGACTGTATCGATGAATCGGTTGATGCGCATAGTGTACTCGCCGCCTCCATATTCCTCCCCATTTGTCCAGGCAGTACTTCCGAGTGGGAGAGAATCGGCCATCGTTGCTCAGCAATTCGGGGTATGTTGGCTGCCAGATAGAAGGTGCTGAGACGAATCGTTCGGGGCGGTCCGAGCCTGGCGCAGTTGAGCCAACTAATGAGTCGGGCAGGCAAAGAAACGATACCAAAAGTGCATCAAAGATCAAAGGGCAGGTTGAGATGCTAAGGAAACGAGGGAGAAAACGCTGGCCCAACCCAAGATTGACAAGATGTATCAAATGTACGGTATTTGTTGAACCTGCGCAAGCAGGCAACTCGACGCTGGCGGTAATCGAGGTCTATGGACCCGTATTGATTCCAGCCATCGAGGAAGGCAGCGTTTGTGTTAGCTACCTAGTTAATCAATCATTAGAAGACCTCAATTTGACTGTTATTATTATTTTGTTCATCGTATTCGAATACCCCTTGATTCCAACAGTATTACTGACGAAGAATAATAAGAAAGCTGCAGTCAGCAGCCAGAAGAGCCATGGTCTGCCTACACCGATTGTTCATACTCTGTAAAGAGCTGCTAGTTAGAGGGCAGAGGGATAGGCTGGCGCTAGCCCGAACAAGGTGCTGGTGCAGTTCGTACGGTAATAATTGACCTGATGTTGTTAGCAAAATATCAGCGTCAGCGCACGGTGACAGCCTCTTTTGTTTAATGCACTAACTAAGAAAGAACAGCCCCAACCACCACACTAGCCCCTGTCCCTTGATTCACGCGCAAACTCGTATAATGCATAACTACTATTTCCTGCCTTGTTGAAATGCCTTTACAAAAGTCTACACTCAACCTGCCTGCCCTCTCTTCCCTCTTCTCTAGTTATCTACTCTATAACCAATAACCATCTTCATCACCAAGCATCTTTCAGACAACCTCTCGTTACCATATTAACATATTAACAATGACATCACCACAACTCCCTGTCCTTCTCTCTCTCACACACCGTTCATCCACCTATCCACACAGCATTCACAACTCATCTACTGGCATGCACGTTCCCATCTCCTCCGCCTTCCTCACCCCTGCCTGCTAAGCTGTTTAGATTGAACATTGTTCAAAAAGAGCATCATATCTCGTGTTTTTCTTCAATTTCCCTCACCTTCCCCCCCCTCCCCACGTGTCCGACAAACCTCGACACCAAGTCCGGACCTCCTTTCATCAGACCTCAGACGCATCAACTCAATGCCCTCATTTCAGATTACGACTCGCTCCAGGGAGTTAATAAGACGTCTCTGTCCTGCACCCTCTGCGACACATCAGCCTCGGCCATCACTCGCCTCCTGGTTTTGAAAGATGCTGGACCAGTACAAAAGACGAAAAAGGTGTCGCCCGCTGCATTCTCGACTTTTCAGCCTTTTTGCTGCCAATCCATGCCTTTGTCTCAGCCCTTGGGATACCTACATTTGCACGACTCGCGTATTATAGCCCCTCCGAGGCGTACGCGGCTTATATTGGTACAATATCCACTGTCACTGGTGACTGGCGCAGTAGGCCAAAAATTAAGATCAGAGCATTATTATATAACAAGACAGTTAACCTACTCTATCCAAACTAATACCGGACTACTTCAATGACTCTATTAAATTAAAGGGATGCGGCGCAGACGAAGTGGCCAGAACCACAGTTTTGATACTGCTTGTCCCCGCGAGTATAAATACAGCAAGCTGCCTATTGACATCCTATCAACAGTCAGTCAACAGTCAACAGTCAACAGTCAACAGTCAACAGTCAACAGTCAACAGTCAACACTTGCCTCAACCCTCTTAACTCCTCTACGTAATACGTGCTACAATCTTTGATCATCAACAATCTAACAGCATTGGTTACAATGTCACTCAAGGCCGCCATTACACTAGCCATCTCGTTCTCTGCTATTTTAGCATCGTCGGCGACTGTTGACAAGAGAATTGTCAATGGAGAAGATGCTGACTTGGGTGAAGTCAAATTCATCGTTAGCCTTTGCCAGAAGAACGGGAAGTGTTATTGCGGAGGCAGTCTGCTAGACAGCACTACGGTTCTTACTGCCGCGCATTGCGTTGCCCAAAGCAAGCCCATCTCAATCAAGGCTGGGGTAGTTGTAAGTATTCTGGTCATGCTTTACTCGGATAAGATTAAAACAGCGGCATTGAGCTAACAATTGTATAGATCAGGGGAAATAGGGATGGAGTAGACGCACAAGTTGCATCTATTATACAGCACCCGGATTATCGTCCAGGCCTTGACAAATACGGCATGGTGGTGCAAGGCCCTCTGCATCACAATGACATTGCAATTTTGAAATTAGCGACTCCGATTGACAAGAGCAGCGATATTGACTATGCCACGTTGCCTCCAGCAGGCTCGGATGCCGAAGTCAATTCCACCGCAACAGCTGCAGGCTGGTAAGTGCCTATCGCTGAGCACTAGCATGTGCCTTTCAGATTTTGGAAAGACACTAACACGCACAATAGGGGACGTACCATACCGGATAATCCTACTGCCAAGGCATTGAAACCGCCCACTCGGCTTCAGAAGGTTGTTCTTCCTATTCGCGCACGCGAGGACTGCGCCCAGTACGAAAATGTAGGTGAGAGAGACACTATCATATGTGCCGGTGGAGGAGGCAAGAATGTCTGCGGAGGGGATAGCGGTGGTCCTCTTTTCGACGCGAAAACGCTACTCGGTGTTGTGTCAATGACTACCAAGGATATGGACAACGGTGAGGAAATGTGCAACCAGACTCCCGGGGTGTTTACCAGAGTCGGCAGTTACATTGACTTTATCAACCAACATCTTGGTTCTAAGACTAAGCAGTAGTGTCTTGGGACCAAAAAACGGCCCGACATTAGAACCTAAATAGCTCGAGTTGGAGCTTCCTTTTACCAGGCCCCAACTCTCCGAGCAATGTCTCATTATCCGAGTCACGCTGAAAGTCCGATGCAATTATAATGCAAGTGACCTGCCTTGACATGGTAAAGCGCCAATTGACAGGCGGTATATTGTACCACCATTTTCCTCAATGCACGCTGCCACGTTGATGACTACATACAACTGGGCTATAAAATGGCCATGCTACTGACATGCTCCGTTAATGACCCAAGAGATGGGAGCCTCTGGAACAAGATGAGAAATTCGGGGGTGTAGACCGTAAGAGTAGAGTTCAGTAGGTAAAAAGAAATTGGTAAACCCCTGGGAAAGAAACGACGACTGGCGGCATTATGTTGACTTCCCTTGTCAACTCGGAGAAGTCTTCAGCTCCGTCTCAGATGATGAAGCTTCTTGAGAAAACCGACTCCCTTGTTCCAACTCTCCACGCGTCTAACACTCCTTTGTATACATTATTCAACAGAAACACAAGCATAGTCGTCAGCCCACAAGCCTGTGCATTCCTCGCCAATCTGCGGGTTCCACGCCGCAAAGTCGTTCTGGGAAATCTCCTTATACCATGTGATTGCCACGGGTGTTGCCTTTGCTCCCCCAGTGGATTTTTGTACAGTTGCTCGCCATGCCCGGCTGCGTCGGCTGCGGCGTCTCGATACAGTTGGACGGGGCTGGGGTTGGACCTTTTTCTCGACTTGCCATAACGAGGTCAATACACGGTAGGCCAGCTGACAAGACGATGTTGGACCAGCCCATTTTCCCCATCTTCCCAAGTCTGCACGAGTCTCGGAAAATTTTACTGTGGCAATGGGCGGCAGACGGCGTCGCCGTGTTCTCCTGCGAGAGAAAAAGAGGCTGAAAGCCGCGCGCCCGCTCTTGATCACGAGGCTTGTGAGTCTTAATACTTATCCGTCTTTCAGCGAGCCACTAGATCATATCGGACAGCATCTTCTTGAGTCAAAAACGACGCCTTCTTCACCCGATTTTCAAGATGCCTTTTTACTGGCCATAAGTAGCCACTCTGCACATCAATACGACAGATATAATTTGTATTGATGAGGTATGTCTTGGATCACAATGCCTCTCAGGTACCAGCCAGGAATGACGTAATCGCGAAAGCTGAAGGATGAGGCTTTTTTCCAAATTTGGGAAGTAAGATGGGTCGCAATATAATAGTTGGGTAATTGTGACAAACCACTTATCTGATATCCAATCAAGAACGGGCGCGCTCACTGGCGTCAACTAGTCACGATGCCCTTCGCCGAACAAGGGAAGCCGGAGGAGCAGACCAACACACAATCGAATGAAGACTTGTACTTACCGAAGGGAAGGGATAGAAGGCTCTAAGAATGTGAGCACATGCTCATAGGATGACATTGGAAATTTCGCCAAATTCTGGAATTTGCGGCTGATACCGATCCAGGTATTGCATATGGTTTCATTCTCATCCCCGAATTCCTCTCATCAACGAGGCCGCGAAAATCGTTCATAAAGCCCAAAGAGGGGCCGACTTCCGCCTTGATGGCCTCGTCCGCTGACACGGCGCAACGGTGCCCGACACGTTGTTGGAGAAGCGCGTGTCGCCTGGGATGAGCTTTCACCATACTGAGACCCGCCCCGCAAGCCGCGGGCGTCAACTGTTAAACTTGGCGAACGCGCAGCTGTCTTGAAGTTTGCAAACGGTCCATGTCTTGAAGTTTGGCAAACGCTAAACCATGTTGAAGTCGGTACATCTCGTGCGCTGCGTCGGCCCCCCCCCCCCCCCTGTGATTTTCGAGTGTTGGTCTCAGCCCACAAAAAGCTTCCAAAGGTACAATTGGCCAGGGAATTTCCGTAGCTGAAGAAGTGTTTTGCATCGCTGTGAGGTTCTTCCTTGGTTTCAGCCTTGTTCTCCATTGTAAAGACAGCTGATGTCTCACCTGTTGGTCGATGTCCAGCAGGCCCCCGAGCGGCCTTGTATTTCAACCCCACGACCAACCCAGCGAAAGCCGCTTGTGGCCTGTTGGATGGATTTTGATCAGAATTATTTGTAACATTTATTTGGGTTTGACGAGTTCCTGCAGATGCCGTTTGCACTCTTCCGGGATTCCCCCGGCGTTAAACATCAATAAATGAATAAATGAATAGCCTGTTGATGGATGCTTCTACGCCGGAGCCGAATGTTTGTTTTTTACCCATCGAGGCCGTGCCGCTATGTTCGTATTGTTTTCTCTACTGAGAAGATTTATTTAAAACTCGCAGTGCCCTACTCAATCTTCAACTCATCAGCTCATCAGTTCCTCAGTTCATCAGTCTCTTCACCATTAGCCATCAACCAACAACCAACAGCCATCAACCATCCGCCATCAACCGTCAGCCATCAACCAACATCACCACACACCGCGGGTAAAATGAAGTCTGCAATCATTTACTCCATCTGCCTTGTCTTTTGCTCTGGTGTCGGGGCAGCTCCAGTACCCATGCCCTTGAACGGTCTGCTGGGGCAGCCCCCATGGGGCACTCGCGGCTCCGAGCCGGGAACCGTTTGAGAAGCACGTACAAGAACTACACGAAGGAAGGACCGATGGGGAACAGAGCAGTGTTGTATACAATTTTGGAAACTTCAGATACCCGGCGCAAGGTTACTCTGCTGTAAGCCATTCTCTACTTGTCTCCGCTTATGCGAGCCCTAACTTAATGATCTCTTCTAGAGATGTGACTACAGAAGTCGGATATGCCTTTTCATCCGGAATGATGGCGTCTATTCTGCAAAGTACATTGCCGCTACTCAACGAATGGAGGTACGTTTTCTAATTACTTCCAATCCAAACAGCATCGCAGTTACTCATACGGACTAGTACACCCTGGACGACTTTTCTTGTTATGGGCACCGCAACAGCGACAAGTGCTCGGCACCTGGTTGAGACCCCATTAGGTTGAAACACTCCCAGCACCTAGAGTTTATAATAGAATATTAATGTTATATGATTTAGACAAATACCGCTTGTCATCGGCTGCTTCATTGTGAATTGAGAAACCCTTTGCAAGACAAGTCGCTTCCTCGCTGAACCGCGTGAGTTCCTTGATGCACGTCAGTATTATTATTATTATTATTATTTCTATTTAACGCCGGTGGGAATCCCTGAAAAGGGCAAACGCGGGTACCTTACAAACTTAAATTTCACAAATAAGATGCACGCCAGTAGTAGATCGTACAAGGCACAAACATAAAACAAACAACTCATTCCCACGATCAGCGCTATTGTGTGTTTTTGTTCAAGTTTTCCCTTGTAAGAAACCCTGCGCTTTGTGACGAGTGAAAATCGCTGACCACTTGGAATCGTGGGGGTATCTTAGCGAGCATGATCAAGGCGAGCAGGAGACGACGCTTTGAGCCACCTTGAAGCCTGTGGATGCCACTTGCTAAATGGAATGGCAGGTTCTGTCGCGCAAGAGCGAAGAAATATTCAGTTTACTCTGACTTGGCCGCAGGATTATGAGTAGTGCATACTCCTTCTGAAGAATGAGTATTTTGCGGCGCCCTGGAATAGTAAATATGATTGGGAGCCGAGTTGGTATCTCAGCTTCATTTGTAGCCACTGATATTAGAGACGTTCAACAGAAATATTTAGCGACCCGCTGCAGACTTACTTAGTATAGAGAGCCATTTTTAAAGAAGAATATAATCAGCCTATTTTCCACTCGACTTAATGATGAATGATGGCGACATGGGGCCTTGCTACTAGTGCTCTGCGAGTGTCACTTGCTCCTCCTGCCATTGGTAGACGGAATAATCAGAGGGACAGGTCTCGCAGCCTGACACGTGTCGGCCGAGCCATACAAGCCCTGTGGATGGTCGACGAACAACGCCATCCAGTCCTGGGAGCATGACGAGATGGCGAATGATGAGGCAGAGAAGCTCTTGTTTCCTAACACGGTCCACCAAGGCCTATGCTAGGCTCGGTCATAATGCCCTCCACTATGAAGATGATGACCTCAAAGAAGGGTACAATTCCACTTTTGACAATGGCATCGCTATTCCATTTTTATTCGACTCGTTTAATCGACATCGCTCCACGTAGCTGCTGGAGCATAGTAGCCGTACTAGCGAACGTGTTAGTGTAAATGTTCCTCCCTATGTACCTATCTTATCCTATCCTGTACCACTATCCAGCACCGTCTCATTGCGCATCAGCCAATTATTAATGCGACAGCCACCCGAAACGTCCCCCCTCCGCCTGGCCTTACCTACCTACCTGGCTGCACTCCATCCCTCTGCGCTTTTGGCAGCAAGCTTTCCCATCCCGCGAAATACAACTCAAGCAAAAGCGACGCAACCTTTTTTCGCTACCCACCGACAAACATCTCGCCGATGGACGAGAAGCGACGCCTGCCGCTGCACCGCGCCGACATGACCGGCGCCGCCCCCGTCGTCATCGTCCGCCGCCGACGCACCCGTCTCTGGCTGCCCGTCCTCCTCCTAGTCCTGCTCGGCTACAGCCTGCTGTCCACCTACAACGTCGACGTCCGCGGCCGCCTCGACAAGCTCTCCCGCGAGGCCACCTCGACCGCCGCCAAGGCTGTCGGCGGCGGCCGTCGCAAGGTGCCTCTCGAGGCGCACATTATGAGCAAGTGCCCCGACACAAGAGTGCGTACCTACCTACCCTTTTTTGCCCATCAGCCGCATCACTCTGCGGCGCTTCTGGTATCCCGCTGACCCGGCTCTTTTTGCGACAGGATGCTCTGCGACTGCTTCTCCTGCCTGCCATGCAGCAGGTCTACGACAAGGTCGACTTTAAACTATCATATATTGGCTAGTACGGAAACCTCCCCATCCGCTGTCTGGTGAAATGACCTACTTACAAACGTTCAGCCTCGCCGACGACGGCGTCCGGTGCAAGCACGGCCCCTCCGAGTGCTTGGGCAACATCATCGAGCTCTGCGCGCGCGAGCTCTACCCCGACCCTAAAATCAGCCTCGGCTTCGTCATGTGCTTGACCAAGGACTTTCGCCAGGTTCCCGAACGCTCCCTCGTCGAGGACTGCGCCCTCGAGCACGCCATCGACATCAAAAAGCTCAACGAGTGCGCCACGCGCGACGACGGCCAACACGGCCTCGACCTCTTACGCAGCAGCGTTCAGCATTCCGCCGACGTACGTCTTCTTCTCTTTCTTCTCCCGCTTCCTCCCACTCCACATTGTTCCTCTTGTCTAACCCTTGGCCCCAACCACAGGTCAACGCCACCATCAGCTGCACCATCCGCCTTGACAACGAGGTCTTCAGCATCCGCAACAACGGCGAGTGGGAGTACGCTCCCCACGGCTCCTCAGTCAACGACCTTGTCCTGGCGGTTGAGAAGCTAGCCTGGCAGTCCTGAGCGGCTCGTATACCTGCGTCCACAGCTCGCTCGCCTCCCCCAGCGTGTATGTCATAGACACGGCGTCCATGCCCGCCTCGTCGTCGTCCCCCGCCATGACCTGGAGCGTCTCGATGATGCTGTCCAGGCCCACGGCCTTGCCCGTCGCCTGCGTCGCGCCCGCCTCGAGCGCCACGTGCACAATGTGAATGTGGAAGTGGTAGTATGTAGGCTGGTAGTGCACATATAGTTTCAGCTGGTCCGCCTCAATTAAAGGATACGTCGCCACCGTCGCGTCCGTCAACTTGTCCCGCATGTGCCGCAGCCACGGAATGTGCTTCTTCTTGAGATCTCGCAGCGACCACAAGTCCCGCCGCTCGACCAGCGCAAGCAAATGCAGCGCTTCCAGCGTCGACCGGTCCCAATTGAGGTCCGGCGCCAGCAGGAACCCCTCGTCGCCCGCCTCGCCAAGCGGCGTCCTGTAAATCACGTCCTCAGTCTCCTCGAGCCCGTCGAGGATGTTGAAGACCCAGTTCAGCCGCCCCTCTGCGCGCTTGCTCTCCATGTACGGCCGGATCGCGTCGCGGTACAGCGCCGGCGTCTCCGTCACGAACCGCACCCCCTGCTTGCTGTACTTTCTCACGTGCGTCTCCGTGCACGGGTAGATGAGGTTGATCTTGAGGTCGGGGTAAAAGTCGGGGGCCTCGGGGGTCTCGCCTGCCGTGTCGTCCGCGCCCGTCCGCGCCATGTGCCAGCTGTAGATGTCGTTGGCGCCCAGGTTCTGCAGCCGCGCGAGCGACCCCGGCAGCCGGCCGAGGTACCCCGCCGACGTCGGGAACGGGGCGCGCTCGAGGATAAGCAGCGCGGGCTGCCCATCAACTCTGCCGAGCAGGGACGTGCGGCGGCCGGCTTGGTCTGGATACGTTAGAGGGGTTTAATAATTCAAAGCTGGCGAAGAGGGAAAGCATCAAACAGGCAGCTACGAGCGCTACGAGCCGTCTAGTTTGGTTGCTTGGGGGCTAGAAACGTACCTTGATTCAGCACTCGCTCGAGCTGAAACTTGGCCACGGCCGCCTCCGAGGCAGCTTTGAGGTCCGCGCTTTTGTCCGCCATCTTTTTCGGGACTCTATTTTGTAGATTCTGAGTTGAGTGGCGGCGTTGGAAGAACTTTGGTGTGAGAGTAGAAGTTGACGAAATCTGGAAGCTTAGCGAGGCTAACCCCACTACCGACTGAGATGTGAGGGGCATTCACTCCACCTACGCATAACTTTCGCTGTACAGAGTAGTTGTTGCTGTATCGTGGGCAGGTAGTCCTCAATTAATCATCACGAGAAGGAGCAAATGGATATCATGTAGAAATATTTACTTTTGGTATCTAAGCTATCTAAAGAAAAGAAAAAAGTCGAAGAATATTCGTGGGGGATCAAACCCGCACCCCTGTTATGTGCATAAAGATAAAATGCCACTTTCCAACTCGACACAAGAAGAGATAGAAAAAAAGAGGTATAGAACCTCTGCGTGTCCATATTTACATGTGACAAGAGACCAAAGGGGAAGAGTAACAAGTATCTCGTATCTTCCAAGTGGCATCAAGTCCCGGCCGTAGACATTATGTACGCTTCATTGTTTTTCGCCTGGCGTTGGCAAGAGAGCCGCGGTGCAGCAGAATTAAAGCACCAGTCCGGAAAATAGTGTCTGTGTATGCAAAAGTCAAAGATTAGAAGAGCAAAGAACCAACTGCGAGCGCCGAGCAATGGGTATAAACAACGAATGAATCGAAACCAGCAAGGAAAAAAGGAAGGCCCGGGTAGTGATAGAAGATTTGCGCGTCGTGTCTCGGCCGTTCGAATGCCGAGAAGCAATGGTTCAAGTAGTTTGACAAAGAGTCTGGGCGTTTGGTGGGATAATGGGTCGAGAGAAAACCCTCTCTCGCTTCAGGAAAATAGTCGTAAAATGGGAAAAGTCGTGGAGAAAGAGACGAAGAGTAAGGAGCAGGCAAGAATGCTGTGGCAGAACTTGTGCGAAAAGTGCGCTCAGCAATGCCCTTTCGCATACAAGATGAATGAAAACCAGCCAGCGATATGCCGCATAGGTTACCTCACCTGGCCAGCAGGAGATCCGGCGGAGCCAGGGTCCGTCGACCCATCTCCCTCGATCGTCTTGCGCCAATGCTGTGGCAAGCAAACGCACACTAGGGGAAAGGCTTTCAGCTCGGGTGCTGCTGGAACAGGTGGGCTCTGACTATCATCACGTATCGACGAGTTGGAGACACCACTATCTCTCTGTGCAGCTCGTGACGCTTCCCATTCCTCTGCTCGCTGCTCCTGCATGTGGCCAGTGGCCCAGCCATCATCCCAAATGCCCACGACTTTGATCATATCGCCCCTCTCGAGAGAAAATTCATCACCGGCGCGAGGTGAGTACGCCCACAAGACAGCAACCTTGTCACCGGGGTGGATGTCGTCTTGCGAGTAATAGTCCTTGAAGAATGGAAGCTGCTCCGATTGCTGGCTGCCAAAGCCTCGCGGCGAAGAGTACCCCGCACTAAGGGGTGACATCTGACCGTCGCTGCCCAGGACAGAGCCACTCGATAGCGATCCATGTCTTCTAGAAGTCATGGGTGGTGGTCGCAATCCAGCGTCACGATGTTCGAATTCGGGGCTGTCAACGTATTCGTCGGATGAGGACTGGTCTGCCACTTTTCTGCTGTCCGAGCGATTCCCGCCTTCATTTGTAGAAAGACTCTTGTTGTGCTGCGACGGAGAGCCACCGGAGTGACCTTCGAGGGCTGACATGCGCGCAATACGGCCACCGGGAAGGACTTCATATCCCTGAGGCGCGCTCTGAGATTGCTGTGCCATGGCAGGTGTGACCTTCCTTGCGGGAGAAGGTTGGTTGAAGATGCTGCCCGCTTGGCTGCTGTTAGCTCTGCGTCGTCGGAATAAGCGCACGCAGAAGAACAGAAGCAGCGCTAATAAAGCAACACCGGCAAGAGCTCCGATAACAACGCCTGCAATGGCTCCTCCGCTGAGGCCCTTGCCATGTTGGGGCGCACCGTTGCCGTTCTCGCCGGTAGGGGAAGTCGCAGTGGGGTTGGAACTCGTGGATGTTGGAGTAGACGTGAGGGGAACAGAAGCTGTGATGGATGGAAGCTTGACGCCCTCACAGCGTGATTCGGCCTTGGAGTTGTAGCAGCAGGTGTCAGTAGAGTTGGTGCCACCAGCGCCGCAGTAGCCGCAGAGCCCAAGCGTGCTGGATCCGAAGCCGCAGTTTTCGGCCTCGTTCTGGGAGGCCGGGATGCAGTCGCCGGCGAGCGCTTTAACGGGCAGGCCACAAACAGTGTAGTCAGCTCGGATTAGGTCAGTCAAGTCAAGCCTGGGGTTGCGGCAGAGATTGCTGTTAGAGGTGATGTAGGCCTCGCTTTGAGCAAACTCGGCGCAGGAATCAGCGCATAGTGGCTTGGAGACACTGGCAGCCAGGCCGCAGGGATCGACAGACATTTGGACCATAGAGCTGCAGATGACAGTTGTGGTCCAGCGGGCGTACATGTTGCTCGAGTTGCGTAGATCGACGCCGCCACATCCAAATCGACCCTCGAATCTAGCAAGGTCAGAACACTTGACGTTGACTCCATTAGACATTTACAACGTACCGAGCTTGAACATAACCTGTCTTGACGAAGCTGTCCAGTTGAGTGTCGAAGGAATCAACATCGGATACGTATTGTAGAAACGGGCTACGGACACGTTAGCGCGAGAAGCATGCAAGCGAAAGCAGTCGACATACTAGGTATCGAGCACAGATTTGCCCGTGGAGACAGAAGCACCATCAAAGGCGGGGCAACGCTTGGAACCTTTCAGAGGAACGCATTGCCCACCCGTCTGGGCCGTTGAAAGCAAGGGCATGGCGGACAATAGGGCGAGATTCAGGGCCGGGTGCCGCATTCCATTGCGTCTCCGTCGATTGCCTGTTTTGGATGGCGCCGCATTGACGCGAGCCATGGTTGCGAAGTGGCAGCGATGATGTGCACTTCTGACGAGCCGTATATTAGATGATTGTTCCGAGAGAAATTCGACAGGCGATGGAGGAGTATTATAAGCGAAGAGGGGCGCGGGAGGTTAGTTTGCGCTGGAGACGTGTTTGCTTGAGTTGTCGCGCAAACAGTAGACGGCGAAGATGTTGTCTTTGGGCGCTTTGAGGTGTCGTTACCCGGAGCTGTCTGTAGAACAGATGAAGATGAATGTGTTGAAAAAACAGGACGGCATGAATGGTGAAGTAATCGTGGTGGAATTATTCGGGTAGACAGACTACAGTAAAGATCGTTGTCGTTTGCAAAAAGGAGGGTGGTCGGTATGGCGAAGAAACGAGTGTAGATGCCGTGGGCCAACAGAAGACGCAGATGCCCAAATAATCTCTCCGGCAAGCAGACCGCAATTTGAACCCAAGTGCGTATGATGTCTAGGTACAATTGATTCGTCGTCGTTGTCGTCGTCGCAGCGCTGCGAAAGCTCCTGACGTTTGACCGGTCGAGGTACTTTTCTGGTGGTTGCTCAGCGAACACACACTGGCGTGCGATTAGGGGGCGCGGCTCCAGTGCCAAGCGGGGGGGCGCGAGAGGGTCGTTGTATCAGTAAAGAGCACCACGACTTGATGTTGAACGACGGTAAATCTGGAGGCGAGAGCTGTGCAAGCGAAATCTGAGCTGAGCTCAGGGGTGGCCAAACGAGGGTATTCCCAGGAGGGGAGGTGCTGAAAGAAGAAACGCGGCACAGGTGGTCCGGGCGACGGCGATGTCAGGACACCAAGGTAGGGCAAGCCGGGGTTGCTCTCACGCGCGGCGCGCAAAAAGACGCAAGGCGGAAATCCGGGTTCGTCGGCAGCTGCAGTTGCTTATCTCGGCTCGTTTTGAGGTTTGTTGTCCAAGCACTGACTGCGATCCTGTCCTTGATGGCGCGCCCAATGCAGACCCCAAGATGTTGGTGCCGCTGGCGTGGGGGGGGGAAGCGCTTTTCCAACGGGAGGGACGGGAGACACGGGTAAAGGCAGAACGAAGAGAGAGAGAAAACAACAAAGGCCGCAAAGGGAAAGGGAACGGGAAAAAAAAGAAAAGGAAAAAGGAACCGTCGAGTGCGCGAAATAGCGGCCGTGCGAGAAATGGCGGACAAGCTGGCGAGAGAATCCTGGTCGTTTGGGCTGCTGCTAGTGCCTGTACTGGTAGTAGTGAGAGTTACTGGGATGGGGCCGTCTTGTCGCGAACGGGGGCGGCCACATGAGACGGGGGGTGTCGAGCTGTGCCTTTGTGCAAGGCAGTGTAAGAAAAGCAGGTGATGACTATTGAGAGTGTTGAAGTTGATGCATACGATTCGTACTTATTTGCGGTTTTGTTATACTGAGTACGCAGGGTAGTGACAGGTGGTGGCAAGTTGTACGAAATCGAGGCCTGACCCAACGACTTGCACGACGCTGCTACCTGTCTAGTTACCTAAGTACCTTTGTACCTAGCAGGTAGGTAATTACTGAATGACTGTCTTGTTTCTTCAAACGTCTTTTGTGTCCGGTAACATGCGCCCGATTCACCATGCTGCCACGCTGGCAAACACCAAGCCCATACAGACAGAGCTGGGCACGGAATCAGCCAACTTTCAAACTCTGCCCCCAAACTCTACGCGAGAAGAAACTCAAGGACAGGCCCAAACGGCCAACTAACGATTACTAGGTAGTTACCTAATACGTTACTGATGGAACTGATGGATTCTGTCCCGGCGCTACTGAACGGGCCGTTTTGGCGATGACTGGCAGAGCACGCCAGCGTGGACCCCGGCACGGGCCTGGGCGCCGCCGCCATAAGAATCTCCCAGCAAAGAAAACGTCTAACTACCTATGTAGTACGAATTACCTAGGAAGGTACCTAACTATCCTTGTTTCCCAGGTTCGAGTAAACTCTGTTTCTACTGGCCCTCTCTTGACGTTATTAGTGTCGGTGGGCTGCATAGTCACAATTTTAGCCAGACAGGGGGGTTCGGCTCCCAAACGCCTCGTCTGGCTCTGACTCTTGCTTTCTTTTTTGCCCTGACATCTGCATCATGTATGTACCTATGTGTGTACTGACCAAAGCCCCCTGCCTTACCCGAAAATCGACACCTGAGAATCTCGTACCTTGCAGTAGTCTTTTTCCCCTCGGATGGTAAAAGACTCATCCTGGTCGCCGACTGTACATACCCCTGGCCCCTACTATTTACGGCGCCTCGCTAGCTGCTGTTGCTCGTTGCTCATCACTTTCCACTTCTCCCCGTCTAATTTTACTCGAGCCAGGGTCTGCTATCGTTCCTGCGGCCGCACGTGGAGATTGGTCCGCTTCCGTTTCCATTCAATAATAACTACCTACATAGTTAAATTGACCTTGCCAACATGCGTTTCGCGCCAGCTTCGTGTCAACCGACGCTCCAACTACGAGTTACCTGGTCGCAGTCTGACAACGAACCCAACAGCCCAGAGCATATGCCGCTGTTGCTGATCCAGCTTTGGCAGGGATTAGCGTGCTGGTACCATCTCTAGCCCAGAGGATGTGCGACCTGCTTTGTTTCATCAACGTCCGAATTGCATCCCCGCAACTTTGACTCCGTATGCGCTGCCATTTTGCTAGGTATTAATTACACTATTAGTTATGTAATTAGGTGACTTTCGGACATGTGTACAGACAGCCACCTGTAGCACTACGAACACATTTACAAATTACACCAAAAAATACTACAAATAGCTTGTCATGATATTTCTCTTCTTTTGACGACAACTCAAATAATCGACGCGCCAGATCTGCCATGTGTTTCGCGGGCGGACCTACCTTTCTTTAGCTACGCATTTATTAATAATAATTTAAGCCATCAGACGAAACCAAACTTTCAGACCCTGTACCTAAGCATGGTATTTTGCCTTTCAGAGTGATGACTGACACAGGTGTATGTTACACTTGCAGCTTATGAGTTGTTGAGTGTTGACTCTACCAATAAACAGTTATGAAGATGCTAGCCCCGGCAAGCAAAAAAAAATAGCCATCGCATGTCTTGTCGCCTCACAGTCCTTCCATCTAAAGACAGTATCACAACCTATCACTTATAAGATCTGTCTTGGCCCTAACGGCACGTGCCCTCGGATATACATCTCTACATCTCTACTAAAAGTCGACGCTTCGATAACAATACGCACATGGCAGCCAGCACAGACATACATTGGCGCATCGCCCTTCAGCCACAGCATCTTGCTCTTACAGTACGTACTTTTTGTTAGATGCTGCAATGCATGCGTACCCCTGCCACTGCAAGGCGCAAGATCGCTTCAAATTATCGACAGCGAGTTACTATCTTGACCCAATGTCTCGACGCATCTCCAGAACGCGCGCCTTTGGCAGTAAAGCACACCACTTCGGCGCATTTCTGCAGCGTCGTGGACTTTGACGGGCATCATTCCCTATCCCCGAGGAGAAGAAGAAGAAAAAATCCGATGCCTCGTGCATTCGGTCCCGAGATGGACAATGTTCGGGCACGATGAATGGGCGCCACCCGCAAGCCCACGATTTCCATCCATCAGCTTTGACTTTTGGCACTAGTCTCGCGCTTCGCTGACACCGACCGCCGACGCGGGGTAGCAATACTGTCTAATAAGGAGCCCAGATAATAAGCTTGGTAATGGTGTTGCAGATGCCACGTTTTCCGAGTATGGAATCAAAGATGAATGGCTTTTGCGAGTGATGCAATTTGTCAGAAATCATCAGAAACCATGTTTCTCGTGATGAAGAGTCAACTTTGTCAGCAGTCACATTCTAGGCCAAGATGGAGTACTCGCGCTCAAATTGTCGCGAGCATGGTAGTCATCGGCCTCTAGTGAGAAAATAAGGTACAGCAAAAGCTTAGATGGTGAGTGTTGCAGGTCTTGGTATTCTGCAGTCAGACTCGAGTACGTTGCTGGCACAACGTGTAGCTGCGCATCTCGCGCTGTCTGGGGAGTCACATCTCACAAGGCAACAATATATCAACGGGTCCTCCATCTTGCATGTGAGGATCCCCTCCCACCCTCATCATCGCCAGCCCCAAACCACTTGGCCAAGGAGCAAACTTGCGATCCGTGGATATAAGATGACAAACGCCGTGATAGGGCTAGCTGAAATGTATCGGCCGCTCGGGGCTTAAAACGCCGACCAAGAGCGAGCCTTCTCTCTGTACCAGGCGTCCCCACTTTTTCTGGGCTAGCCTCGCTCTCTTCGCGCACCGTCCGTGGATGGTGAGCGTTGGGCGGTCCATCGTCTGCGTCACAATGCCAAAGCTAGCTGAACCATAAAACATATAAGCTTAGGCCCTTGGTGCAACTGAAATCCGAATGCTAATTCTCCTTCTCCTCAATCCCATCAACTATTTTCGAGCAATTATCTTGGCCGATCGCTTCTCGGATCAGAATTATAGTCTCGGCGCCGGCTCCATTGAACAAACGCTCCAACGCCCTCGCCCGTTTGACGATTTCCCCGACTTACACGCAACGGCGCGCGTGACCAACGAAACAACTCTGGCGGCGAGAACATAATCAACCATCGCCAACTTCCCCGGCTGGGGCCTTTTTGTCCTTTTCAGCAGCGTCAGAAGCACTGCACGCCGCCACGCACATTCTCTTGTTCTTTCCCACAACTCGCAGAATGTCGTCCTCGTCACAGTCAAGCCAGGGCGGCATATCGCCGCAGATGCTGGAGCAGTTGAAGCAACACGTGCGTGCAATTCACTCCCACTCCCACACCCATCCCTCGAAAACAAGGAACTAACTGGTATCTTTCCCAGGGCCCTCCGTACCCTCCCACCGGCGCTGGCCTCGGCGGCCGTCCCACCGTCGCCGTCGACGTCCCCATCTCGGCCGTCTTCATCTTCCTCTTCATCCTCTCCGCCGTGCTCAACATGACCATTCTGCAGCGCAACCAGCGCCGCGGCCACAAGTTCGTCCTCTCCGGCCTCCTCTTCGGCTTCAGCATGGCCCGCATCACCGCCAACGTTATGCGCATCGTCTGGGCCACCCGGCCCGCCAACGCCTCCATCGCCATCGCCGCCAGCGTCCTCACAAACGCCGGCGTCGTGCTGCTCTTCGTCGTCAACCTCCTCCTCGTGCAGCGCCTGCTGCGCGCCTACCACCCGCACTTTGGCTGGAGCAGGCCCGTCAGCCTCGCTTTTCGCTTCCTCTACTTTTCTATTGCCGCCGCCATCATCATGGTCATTATCGCCGTCGTCTACAGCTTCTACACGCTCGACGTCAAGGCCCGCATGCGCATCCGCGAGGTCCAGCTCACCGGCGTCGTCTTCCTCGCCGTGCTCGCTTTCCTCCCCATCCCCATTGGCCTCGCCGCCGGCCTCGTGCCCGGACGCTACCCGCGCGACCCCTTTGGCCAGAGCCACCCCCAAGGCCGCGCGCGTTCGCTACGCTTCAAGCTCATCCTCGTCCTCACCACCTCGGCGCTGCTGAGTCTCGGCGCCTCCTTCCGCGCCGGCACAGCCTTTTTCCAGCGCCCGGCGAGCAATCCGGCGTGGTTTCATAGCAAGACCTGCTACTACTGCTTCAACTACACCATCGAGATCGTCTGCGTCTTCACCTACGCCCTGCTACGCTTCGATCGCCTCTTTCATATCCCCGACGGCAGCAGTGGCCCCGGCCATTACGCCGGCCGCGGCGTCGCTGACCAGCCGGAAAAATCTGGCCGCTTCGAGGAGCCCCTGGACAGCGAACGGCCCCCGACCGCCTCTGAGCAGCAAGAACAGGAGACCAGGTGGGACGCGCAACTACGAAGCGAGCTGCAACACCAGGCTGTTTAAAAGCTGGCAGACGTGTGTATACATTCCTTCTTGCTTTGAATTTATAAGCAGCGTGTGTTTCATGGACCGAAAATGGGCTATAGAAATTGCTAGACTATACTTTGATAGACCATGTACGAGATAATTGTGCCATCGTCATGGTTAGTGCACTTTTCACCGAGGGATCATTCATAAACGTTCTAGTGCTTATCGCTGTCAACATCGCCGCTTTTCAATTCCGAGATATAGAAAGGCGTTCTTCTTTTACGTCTTTTACTTCCCTTGTTTTCCTCTTTGCAACATCTATACAACGCGTCGTCGGCCACCTTGTAGTTCAAGCAGCTGTCAACCGCCTTGTTGCCCAGTTCCGACAACTCCTATCCCACACAAATGGCAGAGCTGAACTCGCTGCCAGTCTGTCACACATTGCATACATTACGGGAGCCTATGTGGCAAGTCTAGCACGTCTATTCCTTCTACCGAGGTACAAATACCCAGTGCAAGGTTGTTTTGCGTTTTGATCCAGCGCCACAAGATTAGAGGAAGTAGTCGGGTGTTCCTACGTACGGTCAGCATAATTAATCTACTTGGAAGGCGGGAAATACGTACTTCTCGAGACCATTGGCTCTCCGGCTCTTGGGCATGGGTCGAATTGCAAGCTGCAAAAAGGTCAGTGTTCGTCAACAAGAGTTGGGATTTTGCAGACATACAATGTGTATTTCAGATGTTCGTCAATTTCCATGATAGCCGCTTGGTTACCGCATCGGTAGCAGTAGTTGGGAGCGGAGAAGATGGTGACGACGTTGCGATCTTGCGACCAGTTGTAACCCTCCATAACGAGTTGATGCGCGCGTGCAATCAACGTCAACCCATTGTTATGATTGAATGCTTCTGAAATATCTTGGCCAAAGGTGTAACCGGCACCACGCGGCGAAATTCCCCATCCACATCGGTCGTCGGGGTCTGACCAGAGCAGGTCGCACATCGGACCCTCATGAGGCACTTCCTGGATACGGTCCAAAGCTCGAATGTTATCCAAGGTGTCGATGCTAGGCGAGAGTCCACCGTGGAGACAAAAGATTTGGTTGTCAATGAGGGCAGTCAACGGCAGGTAATCGAACAGGTCGGTAAAATATTTCCAGACGTTGGCATTGCCGTACTTGCGTAAACACTCGTCGTAGAAGCCGTAGACTTGAGTGATTTGACGCGACTCGTGGTTTCCGCGAAGAATGGTGATGCGCTGCGGATGTCTGATCTTGAGAGCGACAAGCAGGGTCACTGTCTCGACGGAGTAGTAGCCTCTGTCGACATAGTCACCTATGGCGCGGAGTCAGTCAGGGTCGTCGCAGGTCAAGAAATGCATCATCACTCGACATACCCATGAACAGATAGTTTGTATCGGGGTTGGGACCACCAATCTTGAAGAGCTCCATGAGGTCGTGGAACTGGCCGTGGATGTCGCCACATACGGTAACGGGGCATTTCTACGCAATTGTCAGCTTCGCGACCACGGGATGCATCCCTCGCGTCGGAACCATCAACTTACGACCGGCTGAACGTTTGATTCTTCTTGTAGTATTTCGCGGGCCTGTTTGGGGATCACTGGTCAGCCACTCAACGTCTGGGCGGTCACGCGAGAAAACGTTGCAGATTCGGCGCGCTAATATCGTATCGTTGGCGAAAGCCACCAAACGCTCGCAAGAGCCATCGCGAGCAAGGCAGACAAGGGGGGTCTCCATCTGCGTCGCGTTATGCGGGCGGCAAAATGGGAATTATTCTTACCTTGTCGCAGAGTCTCTGGACATCAGCCTCGGCAAGCTGCTTGCAGGTCATCAAGCTCTCAATCCACCCGTCGAGCGTGGGAATCGTGGCGGGCTCCTGCTGAACGGGCGACACTTCGGCGGGTGCCCTTCCCACGTCCTCCATATTGGTATCCATGGTGAAGGTAGGAAATAAAAGTCTGGTGGTGTCGAAGCGCTAGGTAGAGGGGCTTTGCGATGCTCGAGAGGTACAAACGTGGGAGATTTGCTCCTTGTCACGCCGACTGTTGCTCTGTGTCCGTGGCGGTGGGGTAAGCCAAGGGGGGGAAAGGCTGGTGGCTGCTATGCGGGAGAGGAAAAAGGTCGCAAGTGCACGGCAGCGGGGGTTGCGGTGCAGATAAGATGGAAAGAGGCGCGCTGTGGTCACGGGTGCGACGGTCGTTGGTTGTGCGTTGTGATTCAGCGGTCGCGAGGATGCGGGATGGAAGAAATGTTGTTTTGTGTTTTGTGATGATGCTAGGGGAGCCTCGATGGGCCGGGGAGTGGGAAGTGGGAGGGAGGAGGGGGGGGGGATCCGGGCGGGAGGAGAGAGCTGCAGCAGCCGCAGCAGCTGCAGCACAGACAGCTGCACGGGAGATTACAGGGCGGCTTCGCTAATTTCCACTCTGTAAGCGCTGGTGTTGCAGCGGTAGTGGCCACCAGCACCTGGCACCTGGCAGTGGTACCTGGGTACGGTACAATCTTGTGGCCACCATCATGAACCACTCAAGACAACGTTCGTTCATTCCCGCATCTTGACTTGCCGGCACATTTGCTACGTAGGTACCTATGTACAGGCTACTCTGTTCAATCCCGATTCTTGAACAATGCTCTTCCCGTTTGTTCCATCGCTGCCAGTTCTTTGTCTGGGTTGGGCACTGCGTCATTGCTTCCCCACCCAGACGCAGCAACATACAACTTGGTCCTAGCTGCCCAACACAGCATACAGACAGGTTGTCACTGTCCATCGCTGATTCTCGGTCATGTAGTCTCAGTTCATCGTGAATAGTTGTAGCATTATCGTAATACAATTTCATACCCGTGCCCATCGCGCATATAGCTTTATGTCGATATCAATCCAAGTCCCGTAGGTGGTGGCGCCGTCTCCCAAAGCACATCCCGTCCCACGAGATCCTGGAAATCAAGCCCGACAGCAGAGAGCTTCTTCGCATGTTCCTTTGCTCTTTCCATGCATTCTGTCCATGCTGGGCCACCACGCTCTGTGCTACTGAGCTGCCTAGCCAGAATGGCATTGAACGCCTCGACCTCTTGCTTAGCCCACTTGACGCACGCGCTCATCATCGGTGGTGGGAAGCAGGCTTGGAAACACAAGACTGTGTTGTGAATAATGGTAAAGTAGACGTACGACAACTGCCAGATGTATAGGTGCAAGTCTCCCTGGAAGATGCATTGTCTGTAACCCAATGTTAGCTTGCAGTCCGATACCATACAGCCGCTTGACTGACCTTGAACGTTTGTGGATGGTAGCACTTCTCGCATCTAAGTAAGTTTCCCTCGCTCTGTCATGATACCCCAGCCTCGTCAGCCAGGACACGTTCCGCTTTGTCTTCATCCTTTCGTTGTGCGTGGCATCAAGCTCGCGAATGACAATGTCGCCTAGGCGGCTGCACCGCTCATCCACTTTGAAGCTGATAAAGTCCTGCGCCACCGCGTTACTCTTGAGCCCTCTCGATAGGCTCTTGAGCTTCTCCACGCCTGCCACTGCAGGCTCAAATCTCTGCATTGCAATGTTAATGTCCAGCTCATCCATCTGGCTCTCCACCCAGCGCAAGTTTTGTTGATTGCCGTCGACCTCGATGAGCATATCCTTAATGTCAGACAGAGTCTCGAGAAGCTCCGTCTTTTGCAGTAAGCCGGGGTCTCGCGAGGCAAAATAGTTGATTGTCTCCTTGGCCTTGTTGTTGGCCTCCATTTCGTACTCTAGACCCTTGCGGAGCTCTTCAACGGCCTTGCGCACATTGAGCAGCAAAGCCTTTTTGGAGTCATCATCTGCCTTTTCGGTCCGGTAGATGAACGACTCTTGCCCGCCACCTCGTACCATGATGGCGTCGGCAAGCTTATTGCGGCCACCAGACGACGAGTCTCCGGTGCCTGGCATGTCAATGACCTCGATATCGAGCAGCGGCCAGCACCGGTCGGCAACGAGCTTCAACATGGGACCTCGCGCGTCCGCGTTGGGCGCATCCATCTTGCGCTTCTTCCGAGAGGCGATGAGTAGGTGGTCGTTGAGCAAAAATATCTGCATGGCTCTACGAGACTTGTATGTGGCATTGTCGAGCTCAACCCACGGTCCAGCGTTCTGCACGACGTGACGCCCAGATGAGCTGGGAAGAAATTTCTGCGAGCCTTCGACATTCTTGTACAAGGCCTGCAACTGCGAGTTCCAGAGCGCGCTTCGGTCTGCCACAGAGCTGCGCTTGTCTCGCTTGCTCAGCGCCGCCTGGCCTGGGATGCTCGCAGGCTCGTCATTTCTGGCAGTCGCGGATCGCAACGCCGTCGTGTTTGTCTTGAGCTCCGACATGAGGTTACGCAGCGTCCGCATTTCGCTTTTGAGCTTCTCTGCCTCTTTGCTGATCTTGATGAATTGCGTGCGGTTCTGTAGTAGATTCTGTTGTAGGTCGGATCCGGCACGAATCTTGAGCTTCTTTAGGCTGTCTTCAAACTCGCGGATCTGACCATCAGTAGCATCGCCAAGCACAGCTGCCACATACTGGTCAGGAACGAGGGCGGGGTCGCGCAGAGCCTTGATATCTATCACAGGTGCAGCGCCAGCTCGGGATGGGGGTGGACGTCGATCTTTTTGTTCGTATTTCTCCATAGATGGTAGTGCCGGTACGGAAGGGATTGGTCCGTCTAAGTCAACCGGGGTGTTATTGAATCGTGTCGAGTATCGTTGTTTCACCAGGTCCGACGTCTACCACCCGTGTTAGTCCGTCAAAGTAGGCAGCAACCGTTACAGCGGCGTCTAGAGTACCTTTCCACCGGCCATTGGCGGTGGTCTTAGTCGAGGCCGCGATGGCTGATCGCTGGTCGAACCAGGAGGGGCTGGGATGGCGCCCATGGCCGAGGCATCTTGGAGAGGTATGGGATTGGATATTTGTCGCGGCGCGCTGATGGTGGGTTTCGCCTTGCGCTTGCCGCTTCGCAACGAGATTTTGCTGCGTTCTTCCGACATTGTGGTAGGAGAGGAAAAGATTCGGCGCGCGCCGAAAACGATGTAAGAAAGAAGAGGTCGCGCAGAGCAGGGTGTTTGTCGTCGAACCCAGCTGCGGCGAGGCTGGTGGTGAATTGGTGATGCAGCTTGAGGTGATGCGGGCGTCAGATACAGTGGACTACTTCTCTGTAATTCGCCTGGAGCCACTGTCAGCGCCGCCGTTTGCCAGACCTGGCCCGTTTCCCGAACTTCTGCCGGTCACCCCCAAATTCCAGCCTGGCACCCCTGAGACTCGGACACGACTGTGCTCCACGCCTGAGCCGACGGCCACAAGCGCTCGAGCTACCGAGCTACGGCAAAAAAATTTGGCGTTCCCGGCGAGCGCATCACAGCCCAGCTTCAACCTCGAACCCGTAATATTTCCCCATTCTCCAACAACAACAGTCCATCAACCTGCGACACTGTTGCTTTCCCTTTTTGGAATACTAGCATCGCCGGGTCTCTGTCTCTCCTCTGCCATCATCCGGCCCTCTCTCAGAGACTGTTGCGCTCTTTTTAAATACCTCCCTCCCTCTCCCCCACATACAACAAACCATGGTGCAATCCTCGACCATCGTGACGGCGTCCGTCGCCACCGCTGCCACTGCAGTCGTCGGTATGTCTGGGTTCTCTCTTTTCAATTGGTCATCCGAGTCAATCGTCCACTCGGCGCACGACGCATCCCGCTAACCTCGTCGTTCGTCTTCCCGCCGATGCAGCTTATGCCGTCTACTTCGACTACCGCCGCCGCAGCCAGGCCGAGTTTCGCCGCGAGTTAAGACGCAACGAGCGTCTGCAGGCCCGCGCCAAGGCCAAGGCCGAAAAGGAGGAGGCCGAGGCGTCCTCGCAGAACCTGCGCGTCACCGTCAAGGCCCGCGTCGACGAGGCCAAGGAGGAGGGCTTCCCCCAGGGCGTCGAGGAGCGCGAGGCCTACTTTAGCGAGCAGATCATGGCTGCTGAAGTCATGAGCTCCGACCGTAAGCTCAAATTTCGACATTCCGGAGACTGAATAGGGTTTCCCGTTTGGCGCATTACTAACAAGCTTTCTTCCGCAGCTTCCAAAGCTATTGACTCGGCTCTTGCTTTCTATAGGGGCCTCAAGGTCTATCCCAACCCCGGTGACCTGATCAAAATCTACGACAGCACTGTTCCCAAGGTACGCTATTCTCTCAGTTGATTGACTGGTGCGCGCGCTGATAATTTCGCTAGCCCATATTGGACATCCTCGCCGAGATGATCGCATACGACTCCAGCCTCGATATCAGCGCGGTGCCCTCTAGTGCTGGCCCTGGCGGTATCAACCTTGGCGACATCCCCAACGTCGGTCTCGACTAAATGTATTTCGACTCGAATTCCTCCGCAGGGAGGGTGTAATATCCGTGGTGTTATCCTGGGCATGCATGACAACCCGGCTTTTAATGGGCGGCACGCGAGAACTCAAGCCGCACGAACCAAGGTTCCGTCTTGATCCTCGTGTTCTTCGCAACGACCAAATTTTAAACCTCGAAAATTCCAAGGCCAGCCGACCGAGGCTCCGGCCTCAGTGTACCATATCATCCTTCTTTTAGGCTTCAGATAGAGCTTTGTGTAAACAGTGTACGGTCAGAGATGCCGCTGTGGGCTTTATAGGAAAGGCAGCTACGGTAGCATCTCCAAATAAAATTATGATCCACGATTGATCTGAAGCGAGTGTCATGGTCCTCGCGAGCCTCACGCATATTGGCATGTGACAGCCGCGTGACATGTACAACGGGTAATGCTCATTCCATTCATGTATTTTGATTAGATTATATCCTATGCTTACTCGGGGGCCTCGCGGATGACAATTGCTTCCTTCTTTCTTCCCTTGCGATCAACACGCTCATCACGAGGGTCGAATCCTCCATTGCCCCAGAGCGCCCACTCTGGCGTCGGCGGGCCCATGTAGTCCTCGGGCGTCCAGTCGCCGTCGGGGCCGCGCTCCTCTAGAAGCTCAAAAAAGCGGTCATAGTCAATGTGGGTGTGCCACTTGCCGTTGACGTGGAAGCGCTCACTGGCAAGCAGGACGCAGCAGCTGTGGGCGTGCTCGGCAGCGATGCCGTACGCGAGGCCCTTTTCCTGGAGGCGCTTGTCCAGCGCGCGCACGAAGTCGCAGACCTCCCAGTAGAACGGCACGTTGGACATGGTGAGTCCGGCATTGGAAGATGTCGACGTGCCGCAGTACGTGACACCCTTGATCTCAACGAAGCAGGGCAGTCCCTGCTCGATGAGCCTAGCGTAGCCCGCCGCCTCGTCCTCGACGTTGAACCCCTTGACGAGGGTTAGGCGGAAGACGGTGCGGTGCCGGAAGCGCTTCTCGCGGAGAATATCCAGGCAGCGGTTGAAGCGCTCCCAAAAGTCACGGTGCAAGGGGCGGTCAATCTTCCGCAGCGAGTCCTTGTTGGACGCGTCAATGGAGACGTAGAGCTGTGTCACAGCCTTGAGGTTGGCCAGCTCGTCTGGATGTTGTGCGTTACACACCAGGAAGGAGGAAATGCGCTCCTTGTGCAGCATGCCGAGGAATTCATTGATGTAGGGGTAAAATATGGGCTCTCCGACCAGGGAGAGCGCACAGTGACGGATCTTGAGGGCTTCCGCAAAACGCTCCGCACGAACACCTGGCACACCACGCAGCATTTTAATCTTCTTGTAGTGGTTTTCCTTGACACCGTCAAAGATCAGCTCGGGCGGGTCAACTACCCAGCGCCAAGTAGTACCAACGGGGTTGGTGCCGTGACGCCAGCAAAATACGCACTTGTTGGAGCACGAGAGTGATGGCGTTGTCTCCATGCACTGGTGAGAGTTGATACCGTATAGGGAGTATTTATAGCAGCTGCCTCGGCCACGTAGAGCCGATTTGGTCCACCGACAAATTTTGACTCCGGAATGCGATCCAACAATAGCATAGCCTTGCTTTGTGAGGGCAGCATAAGTAGGGGAGTTCTTGGCGACCATTTCCTTGACCTTGCTTTGAGCATTGCCTTTGGAGTTGTATGTGGTAAAATCAACAGCAATGGGGGCTTTGGGGTTGGCATCACCAGCTTGAGACTTGATCACGCGTCCCAGATCTTCCACGTCGTCAAGGCTGCTAGACGTCTTGCCATTTTCACGTTTTGGGGGGTTCTCCTCGTCAAAAACCACCTCACCATCATCGTAGTCTTCTTCTATCTCATCATCGCTTTCCACGGCCGCGCCACTACCAGGTACACCTTGGCCTAGGTGCCCAGTGCGGATGACGTGGTCAAAGACTTCTTCAACACCGCTTGTCCATTCGATGAAGCGCTCAGCATGGTCACTCTTCATATCACCCATGCCAACGGGGTAGGCTCTCTTGCGCGCAGTCAGCTTTGCCATCCATTTGTCCAACTCCTTGGCCTGGAAGCAGTAGCCTTCTGCCTCATCAGGCCAGCCTTCGCGATCACCAAATCCAAACACAGAGTACCCCAGAAGTGGCGAGAGAGGTGCCGTGTCAATTCGAAAGTCGTGATGCGTCTCTTGAAGATGCTCAAGGAATGTGTCATTGATAGAGTCGATGTTGTAGCTCGGTATGAGGAATAGGTAGAGGAATTGCGCCCCGACATCGCTCGTTGGGGGTGCGATAAAGTAGTCGTCAAAATCAATCTCGGTCAGGTCGAGAAGCTCTGGCGCAAGAACTGGGCGCTTGGTTTCGGCGGCAATCTGCGTGACAGACTTCTCCAGCCTTGCAATGAAATCTCGGCCAATTTTTTCCGTCTTTGTGGTAATGGAGGAGAAGAAGACAAGAACCTTGACCGGTTTGTTCAGATCGACTGGTTCTTCGCTTGTCTCGGACTTTTTGGCCACGCCGCCTTTGATCCTGCGCGGACCGGCGGCTTTGACGAGAGTCTTTTCTTGTACTTGTCGCGGGAGCACGGTATCTGAATTTTGGGGATTCGCCTTTTCGTAGATTTTGGGAATGGTTTTCAGGTCCGACTTCTCTTCGTATACGTGGAGGTAAAGGCGAAGCACAAGAAGGCCGCAAAGTGCAAAAAGAATAATGGGAGTTCGATTAGTGTGCCAGACATCGAGCAGCCCTTAGACTATTAGCGTGATATTATTTCGGAAAGGACTTATATTCGTTCTTACCATTGATGTTGAACAGAGCAGACTGCCCATATCCGCTGCCCAGAGGATCCATGGTGAAAGCAGTTTTTCGCGTGTAGTTGATGAAATGGAAGTTTAGACAGGTGCCCCGCGATGAAATAATTTTGGCGGGGCGAATCAGCAAACACCTGATAGGTGGGATGTGTGCCTATGTACAATGGGGTGGCATTCATTACCTATTCATTAATTGGATAGCATATTCTCATTACGAATCGGTCTACTGCTGTGGTATTTCTCGGCACGCACGTATTCCCTATTCACCATGCCACCTGCTCTGCTGTGTGTCCAGATTTACAACCAACAGTAACTAACTACCTACCTAGGTATATACATACCTATTTACATAGGTGCGGATCTTTAACGGCGACTGTATCGCACTCGCCAAGACTTGTTCCATGGGAGAAAATAAGAAAACAAACCCCACCTAACGACACGTCAAAAGACAAAACTATTACCTCTTCCGCAACAATATCGGCATTTGAACTTCATTTCAATAATCGGTGCCGGGTAGCCTGATGACTAATGGTGGTGTGTTTAGAAAGGGTGGGACAGAAGAACATGAGGCGTGCCCAGGCTAGGACTAGCGTCAATCACGCAATCGAGCAGCCCGCCTTTGGGTCAAGGGCTTTGCCAGACGACGACATGACCACCACCTCTTTCCCTTCTGCAACCTACTTGCACGTCATCTCGTGGACAGAGGACTCTCAGCGGTCTCGAGACGGTTATTTTTATGCCAATATGTTATGTATTTCGCTATGAAGAGACGCTGCGCTGTTGCGACTTGACTGTGCTATGGGTTTGCCCCACTCAGCTGAAAAGAGAGCAGATTCACAGGCTAATGGGACGAAATACAGGATGCACCAAGAAATCCAACAAACGCCAGCTATGAAACCGAAAAGGACCTATGCAAAGGCCGGCGTGCCTTACTCCTTGAGAAGCCTTCCATAGGCGGAGTAGTAGGCACATCCGGGAACGTGGCTACGGCGACCAGTCTTCTCATCAAAAATGTGGCAACCCTTCTTTGCTACGTTGGGAGGAGTATAGACTGGACCGAGAGGAACCTCTGTCAGCGAACCGACGACAAGTGTCAACGGAGTTGAATACAAGGAAAACTCACGGTGGAGGGAGACGGCGAAGTCGCTGCCCTTGTTGGAGACGCGGTGCAGGCCGAGCTCGTCAGCCATGTATGCGACTTGGTTTTCTTGATATGTCTTTTCTGTGATGACCTTGATAGGGCCGCTGGGTTCCCCTTCTTGGGGAAACTCGTAGCGAGTCTCGGTCAGGCTGCCTTTGAGAATTTTCATAAGGCAGTGGGCATTGCCGTGGTCATGGATTGGACTGCCCTTACCGGGCGACCAGACCAGCACAAGCTGATACGGAGATGTGTCAGTGGCGGCAAAGGGGCGGTCGGCCTGGGGCGTGATAGCCTAGGCCGGATGGAAGGGAAGCAGACATACCAAGTTGCTCTTGCCGTTGCCCTCGTCGACGAGATTTCTCGTGTAGCCTCTACTGGCATCACCGAAGGCATACTTTGCCCAGTTTCTATCACGGGCATCATACAGCTTCATGAGACGAGTGAGGAATGTAACGTCGATATCGTCCGAGGTCAACCCCGAGCAGGGGCCCAGCGCCGACTTGAGGGCGAGAACGAGCTCCTCGAAAAGGTCCTCGTCGACGCGCATGGAGTTGGGGCCATAGATGGAGTCAAGCGGCAAAGCGATGGGAAGAACATTGAGAGCCATGATGCGAGAGTGGAAAGAAAGGTTACGTGAGTATGTGTTGTGTGTGTTGCTAAACTGAAGCGAGCAGTGCGAGGAATTAACGATGTTTTGCGAGACGGACACTTTTACGCAAAGGCGGGATGATGCTGGGCAATGCAAGGTGGCGGTCACATGGGGGGGGAAGGCTACTTGCTCTTCCCTTCAGGTTCCGGGTGATAGTAAGACCGCAGTGTGGATGGTGGGGCAGGCAGGCGAGGCTTGAGGACCTTTGTGACACGAATTGCAGAAACCCGACGAGACTACCGACTATCGGCGACGGCAAATGTCCAGAGCCCGTCGAATGGCCAACGTGGCCTCGGACTTATCTGCTCGGGACTTTTTTTTTTCAGTCTATGGTGCGGCTTTTTGGGCAGAAAGCTTTTGCTTTGCCTTGACTTTTTAACTGGGCGAGAGCAAAGAAACGCAAAAGGCCAGCGGGCTCGGACTTGACTTGGGAACGAATTCTAGTTGGTTGATGGGCTGGGGGCCAAGTATGAGAAAAAGTGGATAACTGCATCCCGGTTTTCAGCGGCTACCGGTGCGCTGGCGCTGAGAGGCGTGTAGCGGACAAAGTAGCCGGAAAAGGCATAGAATTGCGCGTAGATCCATGTAGAAATGCGGCCGAGGCGATGAGAATGAGACTGGAACCATCTGTACCTCCGTTTTTTCCATCAAGATGTAGTTATCTAAAAGGATGAGGCAGAGCAGTCGGGGTCTGACAGCGGAGCAAAGTGGAGCAGTGCAAACGGCGTAGTACGGAAGGATGTTCACGCACGGTGTCGGCGCACAGTGCGATGCCGGCGGGCGGGCCAGCGGCCACAAGACGTCGCATTGTGTGGCTGGCTGTATGTATTACTCTAGTTAGAGGAATGCAGCGGAGGCTTGCATATCTTGCTCATATTAAGAAAAGAGGCATAGTGACCATGAGGCTTTTTCTTAGACTGTATCCATGTGTCAAGGCCGTGTGTTGATTGAATGTGTGTCACGACGAACAAGAAGAGATAAGCAGCGTCGCGCGGCGCGATCGATTCCGCGGGTCAAAACGTGTCATACACCAGGGACTGTCGGCAGAGGATACGACGCTGGATACCGGCCGGTCTAGGGCCGGACGAATCGCACAACGGCGGTGGATGATTTCCTGTACTTTGGTAGTTGAATCAAGGGTTTCTTGGGGGAGCACGGCGTCCACCTGGTCCGCCGAGATTGCCGTCCAAGGGTTTGTTGGTTACATGGGATGTTGCCTGAGATTTGTCGAAGCCCTACTCGTCATTGTACTTTCACTATTAGTGCTTTCCTATTGTCGGCAACAATGTTCCGCGATCCGGGATACTACTAGTATGTTGATGAGCCGAGTATAAGCTTTTATGGTCTCCCTGTACAGTCAAGCCCGGTTGGTCGCCGATTGCTCGGAGATGGCGGGTAACAAGGCAAGTCCGGTTTATCTCTAACGTGCAGAGACTCTCGGTCTATCGATTCGTTGGCTACTCGTATTACATGATTTATTCTCAAAGAAGCGACAACTCCTTGAAACATATTTCATTGTCCATCTCGCGGCTCGGGGATGGGTAACCCTGAGCCATCGGATCTCGATCCTACCAACCTACCTAGTTAACCACTTGCTAACCAAAAGCGCCCATCATGCCCCATGACTTACTTCTCTTTTTTTGGTCCCATGGCCGGGCGTCGGGTCGGCGGTAGCCTTGCGCAAACCCCAGAAAAAAAGAAAACACCCCGCTGAAACTAGCTATGTAATAGTTGGTTGCCGATGGCCCGGCGCAAAAAAATGAAGCCGAGAGCGCGCCCAGCATACAATTTCATCATCTTATTACTCCAAGTCTCGCCAAGCTCGTATTCTATTCTGGCCTCGTCAATTCATACTATACACACCATTGAATATTACTACCGCCGTTTTGTTGGACTTTTTCATCCCACATCTCTGCCAGCCAGAATCTCTTGCCACCTGCTTGGCCAACAGCCAACCAAGTCATGTCATCGTCACCCGCCGCCGACGCCGGTGGCGAAACCGCCAACAGCATCACCACCGTCGCGACACCATCGCCGCAGCCCGCGCTAGGAGGCGGCACCGGCGCCGAGGAAGCTCTTCGGAAGCCCTGCAAGAATACCCAGGGCTGGCGCAAAATTGTGCGCAACTTTACGCCGTCGTGAGTAACCAAGCCCGTCCCCGTCCCGCCCACCACCACCCGACACGCCGCCGCAGGCCATCCGGTCCCATCCAATCTATAGAGAGCGTGCGGCTAATCAATCCTACTCCCAGATGGTTCGCCGTCAACATGGGTACCGGCATCGTCTCCATCCTCGTCCACAATCTGCCCTATAACGCCCCGTGGCTGCAGTACATTTCCTACGTCATCTTCGCCCTCAACGTCGCCCTCTTCGTCACCTTTCTTGCCATCAGCATCGTCCGCTACGCACTCTACCCCCGGATTTGGAGCGCCATGATTGAGCACCCCGGCCAGTCTCTCTTTCTCGGCTGCTTCCCCATGGGGTTTGCCAGTAAGCCACACATGCATCTCGAGCCCGCTATTCCCGGGCCTTATATCCCCTTATCAGCAACCAACTAACCACCCCCCCCCGGTCTTTAGCCATTATCAACATGATGATCTTCTCCTGCAGCCACTGGGGAAGCTGGCTCATCCACCTAGCCTGGGCATTTTGGTGGGTCGACGCCCTCCTCTCCATGGCCACCTGCATCTCCATGCCCTTCATCGTCATGCACTGGCACCGGCCGGGGCTGGAAAACACCACGGCCGCCCTGCTCCTCCCCATTGTGCCGACCATTGTCGCCGCCGCCACCGGCGGCATCGTCGCCGAGGTGCTGCCCAACGCGAACCACGCCTACACCACGCTCATCGCCTCGTACGTCCTCTGGGGCATCGGCGAGGCCCTCTCCGCCTGCGTCCTCGCCCTCTACTTTCACCGTCTCACCGTCCACGACCTGCCCCCGCGCGACGTCATCGTCTCCGTCTTCCTCCCCGTCGGCCCCCTCGGACAGGGCGGCTTCGGCATCCAGCAGCTCGGCAAGGTCGCCCTCCAGCGCCTGCCCCAGACCACTGCCTTTGCCGCCGTCGGCCTCGACCCGGCCAAGGGTGCCGAGATTCTCTACGTCCTCGGCGTCTTCCTCGCCCTCGTCATGTGGGGGTTCGCCCTGCTCTGGGTCAGCTTCGCCCTCATCAGCCTCGCAACGACGGCGCACTTCCCCTTCAACATGGGCTGGTGGGGTTTCACTTTCCCCCTCGGCGTCTGGGGCACTTGTACCTCGCTCCTCGCGGCCAACCTCGACAGCCAATTTTTCAAGGTAGCTACCATGATCATCTCCCTCGCTGTTCTGCTATTGTGGCTCATGGTTGGCGCCCGCACTCTGCTGCTGGCTATCCGTGGTGACATGTTTGTCGCACCCTGTCTCAAGACGTTGCAAGAAAAGGAGGCCGCTGGAAGCCAGAGCGGGACGGAAAAGTAATCATAATCAGAGTTAATGCTTGTTTGAATCTCATCGCGTTGGCGTTTTCACGAGTTGCTTCATCTACTTGAAATTTGCATTCACTATTTCAAATGAATGCCGCATCAAAGATTTGGGTCCGGACTATTCAACTAGACAACAGAAACATGTAAATATTCATTTTCAATAATAAAATTCTTGGATGATGCTACCCCTGTTTTCCCCTATTTGTCCAATCTTGTTGTGTATATTGATATCAATTTCATAGGCTATGCAATGTCTGTCTGTCATGGAGTTTCATCGCCACTCCTCGCCCTCCCTCATGTGCTGTACACTTCAAATCTTTTTGAATATGCTACATGCTGCAAATCTCGTCTATCTGAGCCATCGCGCATATGCCCAGCGAATCCTAGTCAGAGCCTTGGCTTGGAAACCGATGCCCTTGATGTTGGCCAGGTCATCTAAATCCTCCAGAAAATCTTGCTGCACGCTTCGCGGAAGGAGCTTCGTCGTTAGGCTGCGCAGCACGTGTAGCTCACACAACAGCAGTCCGTGGTCCTTGTATGAGAGCATGTTACTATCCGTGGGGCTCGCATCGGATAGGATGCGGTCAATGTTGCGCAAAATGCGAATGGCGCGACCAGCCGTGCCGCTCTGTCGTCGTCCCGAGCGACTACCAAACATGGCCTGGAGATATCGAAAGACACCTATAGAAACCAGAACTCCCGGTGTCAGGCCGACAAAGCCAAATACAAGCTCTTGGCTCTTCAGCAGCGAGTCAATACCAGTCATGGCCACCTCCAAGTCAACCTTGGTCTTCTGCACCTGAATCAGTAGAGAGCGCACCAAATCTCCAGTGATTGCACCAGCCAAGGGTTTCCTGAGATACTTCTCATATGCGCGTAGCACAGGAGTAACGTCACCCTCGGCAACCTTGCGGCGAATCTCGCTAATGTGGGCGTCAGTGATTGAAGAACCTTCCATGACAAACTGTGGGTTGTCTTGAGCAAATTCGACGACCATGCGTTCCAAACTTTCTCGATCAGCCTTGAGACTGTCCCGGCTCATGATGGCGATTTCACTCGTCTCGTCGTGTCGAATCGTCTTCACAACTTTTTGCGTCGGCTCGACAACCCAGTTGAGCCAGAAATCTCGCACCGTAGCGCCGAAATCGGTAATCCATTCCACAATCTCGGCTTGGCGATTCACAAGAATGCGAAGTATCGTGCTCGAAGAGACAAGACCAACAACGGCAGGGATCCAGTACCGCACAGCAGGGTGCGGTCGTCCATTGGCGACCGCTAGTTTATCCATGGTCGATACGTGTTGCGGGAGGACCTTGTCAATGATATTCAAGAGTCGTCGTGCTAGTACAGATGATCTTCCAGGTGTGGCCGTATCCTCGATGTGAACGGAGAGCTCGGCATCTTCCTCGACTCCCGCGAAAACCTTGTCCTCGAATTCGTGGATGCTCATGTCCAGAGTAGATACTTCTTTCAGTACCATATCAATTAGCGCAACGCTGCGCTCGACGACACCCTTGAGGTGAGCACCTTGCAGCTGAACTTTGCCGTCATTGGAGTCAAACTGCAGACCCTCATCCATCAAAACACCGAGCCCACTTGCGGTGATCTCTCTCAGCTTCTGTAGCTCCGCCTGCTTCTTCTGGACTTCACTCCGACAGTATGCCAGCGGCGAGAGCACCTTGCGCTGCACATTGGCTAGCGACCGCTCAACGATGCTCTCGCGTACGATGTCATAGAATTTGCGCCATTGTTGTGTGACGCCAGACCCAGCCTGTGCGAGATCCGACGAGGCATCGCGCACATCAAACGAGTTGATTCGAGTCTTGCTGGCAGCGTAGACGTCCTGTGTCCATGCCCATAGCCGCAAGGGCGAAGTTTGGACAGTGTAGAGGCTGCTATACGTGTAAGAATTGAGAACCTCTGACCAGTACCAAATGTCGTCGCTCAGAGGGATGATGCGGTCTAGCAGTGTGTTGAGAATAGTACCATATATCTGGACTGTGGCTTTTGTAACAAGGAGCCACTCTACCTCGTTTTCGTAGTGACTTTTGGCTTGGACGGAAGGTAGACCGGCTGCTCCGTAGGTGTGAGGCGCGAGAATGTCCGACTGTATCAAAAGCGAGCGAACAAAGTCAACGGGGACAAGAGGCTGAGATGAAGAAGTACTGCTGAGGGCCTGGACGAGATGCAGGAGCTGATCAATCCTCGGTGAGCTCAAGGCCTGAGCTGCGACAACAGCTTGATCGGCAGATTCCGAGGCCGCATAATCTGGCGTGAGGTCGGCCAGAACGGGCAGCCGGTCCAGGTATGCGTCGAGACGACGGACTTGACTATATAACTAGGGTTAAAGACCATGCACTCGGAAGCAGGCGAGATGAGGCTTGACGTACTCACTGACGAGCGTCATGGCAGCTCGTGAGGCCCGCCGCGGTCGCTGTCGGACACTCGGGAAGACGACAACACGCACTCAATTGAGCATTAATCGGGAGGCGGCGGAAGGGTGGGGATATGCAACGGGGTGTGTAATAGCTGAATCACACCATCTGTCGTTTATCGGGAGATTGATAGCCGGACTGGTGTCACAATTTGACGATGATGTCGTTGACGGGTGCAGGTTGCTTCGGCTGGCTTACGACTGGTTGCTCTCAAGTGGGGCGCAAACTCGTCTCCAAGGGGATTTGGTGTACGTATCCGTACTAGTTATGGTCATCCGTTCATATGATCTGGATTGATTGATTTATTTTTATTTCCATAACAGCTGATTAAATCTACTTTCTGGGCTGGTTATCTCGGTTATCCCCTTATCGATAATACTAAGCGTTACGCTATTACTGGCTTTGTTGTTGCCTGCTCCTGGGCTCGGATGGAGATAGCCTTCACCTGTACGGACTAACTAGTTACAGCTGCCAGGGACAAAGTACAGCTGGAATAAGTTGCTACTTTACTACAGACCGGTCGTACACAGAGTCTACTTCTGAGCATCAACCACTTCGTTACGGTGGTCGCCTTGGAGTGATGGGCCCTACGTACATACTAGTCTAGTGAACAAAGCGAGGTTGATAAGAGTACGAGTCCCATCGTGGCGGCTGCAAGTGCTGTGGACACTAGAGGAACTGTGTGAGGGCAACAAGGCTCTAATTTGTTGCACAGGTTGGCTTCCCCACATAGACTCCAAAACATCAGGCACGCTTTTATCCGAGTACGAGAGGTTAGCGAACTGGTAGTTGGCGCGCGCGACGGGTCTATGACCGTCCCAAGTTATGAGCCAAGTTGAAAGCCCTTTGTACGAATGCAAGCAAAGCTCGAGCGAGATGCCTGCTCGGGGAAATGAGAAAAACATAAGACTACAAAACCACAGTGATCAGATCTGTGGCCTGATCTTTCACTGCGAATCTTGTGCCCACATTGCTCCTTTTTGACCACCGTGGGAAGGATCATGCTAGGCCGGTCCAGTGGCACGGAAGGCCGGATGCCGATTTTCTAGAATCGCCTTATTAAGTACCGTTGCTGCAAAATAATGCGAAAAGAGACTTGCCACCCAGATGGACCCGCGCCGCAGAGCGCCAAAACACTTTGCGACAGGCACCGCCCATCTCCTGACTGGGTGCTCACTCCCTGCATTACCACTGCATTGGGGGACGAGATAAAAATCTCCATCCCCCCACACTGATGCCCCTAATTGTTGACCTTCTTCCCCTTCAAGCTTCCATCTACCTGGGCACTCATTCTTTTTCTTCTCCTACATCATTCGAGGTTGCGCTTCCACTCCTTCACCTTACTCTGCGTTGCCACTGGAAAAAAGCCCAGTCACTATGGACGTGGTGTGAGTAGTTCCTCGTCGCGCATTCCATCTCGCTATGCGCTGTCACCGCGACAGACCGATAACTAACCATGACAACCAGCAATGCCACCATCCATGCTGCCAACCAGACGCAGGACTACTTCACAGTCCTGCAGGAGGTCACCAAACACAGCATACACCTCAATTACTTTGAGCGTCTCTGGGCCGTAAGTCAGATACCGGGGCCAGCGCCAACTCACCACCGCTCCGTTTGCTAATCGCACTGTCACAGGCCTGGTACCTATGGATGCAAAACGATACCCTCGCGACCGGAATCCTTAGCTTCGTTATGCACGAACTGGTCTACTTTGGCCGCTGCATCCCGTACATGATGCTCGACAGGATTTCCTACTTCCACAAGTACAAGCTCCAGGCCCAGAAAATCCCGACACTCAAGGAGCAGTGGGATTGCGCTGCCATCGTTCTCATCAGCCACTTCACCGCTGAGCTCCCTCAGATCTGGTTCTTTCATCCCATCGCCACTTTTTTTGGAATTGACTACGGGACGCCTTTCCCTACCCTGACTACCATGGCCTGGCAGATTGCCATCCTCTTCGTCATGGAGGATACTTGGCATTACTGGTTTCACCGTGCCCTGCACTATGGTCCTCTGTACAAGGCCATCCACAAGATGCATCACACCTACTCTGCTCCCTTCGGCCTCGCTGCTGAGTACGCTTCTCCTATTGAGACGATGCTGCTTGGTCTGGGTACTGTCGGATCCCCGATTCTCCTGCTCGGAATCACGGGCCACCTGCACCTGGTCACCATGTACACCTGGATCGTCCTTCGTCTGTTTCAAGCTATCGATGCCCACAGCGGCTACGACTTCCCCTGGAGCTTGCGCCACTTCCTTCCCGTTTGGGCTGGCGCCGACCACCACGATGTTCACCACGAAAAGTTCATCGGCAACTATGCTTCGTCTTTCCGCTGGTGGGACTACTTCCTGGACACCGAGGCTGGCGCCGAGGCTCACAAGAAGCGCCGCGACAGAAAGCTTGCCAAGATCCGCGCCAAGAAGGAAAACTAGACTTCTCAGATGCCGGGTCAGAAGGCCGACATGGGGATGAAAATTCATTCAATACATATTTCGCGAAACACGACGACAATAGAACAAACGATGTAAACAAGAACAGGCCGAAAGTCTGATAATAGGCGGCGCAAGTCATCATTTATGGCGTTGGGAGAATCGACAACCGAGTAGAGGGAGTGGTGCTGCTTTTTTTTTCTTTTTCTTGTATATATACTACGCGCACTCAAGTGGGAAAAGGATTAGACTGCTACTTAATAATGCTCGAGGTCGTTGATAATAACATTACTTTTATTCTTCAATTAAATTAGTGCTGTATGTGTTGAAGATGAGTGGCGACGAAAGCCATGCAAATACAAAATACATGTTAAATGTTCGGGTATCCAATTCCAATGCTGTTGCAGATTACTTCTTGCCGGGAATGCAGCAGTCTCCAGCCGACGAAGCTGCCGTGTCAGCGAGACCACTCAGGCCGCAGCTCTTCTTTCCGGACCCGACCTCGCCAAAGTGCTCGGCGAGAAAGTCGCAGGTGGTGGCCATGTCCAGGTCTTTGATCGCCAGACCTTTGGGGTTGTGCGTGGTCCAGCGAATGAATGTGGTATTGTAGACCTGTGAATGTGAGAAAGGATGCCGTCATTAAAGTGCAGGAGGCAGGCAGATTCAATCCTTACATTAGACCACTCCGGGTGATGCTTGTTCTTCTTGGCCTCTGCCGCGACGGCATTCATAAACTCCTATTCCGCGACAGCGTTAGCAAGGCATGCACACTACAAGACGGAACGCGCTGCCCCAGTTTGTTCCAAGTTGGAGGTGCTTACCCAAGTCTTGTTGAAAGTGGCAAACTTGAAGCTGCGCTCAATGCCATAGCCGTCCGCAGTCAACGTCCACTTGCCGCCCGCGTCGGGGGTGATGAGCGGCCGCAGGGCCTCGGTGGCGGCGCTCTTGTCCGTGCCGGCAGAAAAGGACGGCGGCATGGGCATGGTCGAAAAGCTGCCGACGGCGCCGAAAAACGGCGATGCGCTGGCAACGTCGGAGGGCATGGCGGCGGCAGGCCTGGCTGTTACTGATGCGGCTCTGGCGATGGTGGTGGTCCGGAGTATGTGATAGGTGCGCGCAACGGTTCGCTGCATTCCGGAGCGACACCCTGCGCTTGATACAAAATCAGGCGTCGGAGAGCTGTATATCTATACGCGCTCTTGAAATATGAGCTGATGAGAGCGAGTGAGAATGTATATTGTTTTGCTGTTGTTTGATAGGTATGAATGGCCAAAATTGGTCTTATCCAGCCGGGCAGGACTACCAAAAATCTTTTTTTTTCCAGTCCTGATTTAGTGAGGATCCCGGCGGTGGCGTCCACTGCCAAGAAGCGTTAGGGTGGGCGGCAGCGGCCGATAATTCCAGAGTACATGAACCCATCAACCCCATCCCGCCATCGAAAAAGAAGAGCGCTGGTCTTTGACTTGTAGCAATATCAAATTTTAGGAAACCCGTGTAATGGGAAACGGAATTTACGATGCACATGGCTTCTTCTCTAGCGGTTGACTTGAGAGAAGATTGCAGTGTGATTTCTAGGCGTACAAGTGACTGCCACAGCACGTGTAAGACGATTAGTTCTAGTATGCCTGCCTACTCGAAAATGAAATGGAAAAGAGACTACCTGATAATGACCAGTAAAGGCGTAAAAGAAGAGCCAAGAGGCAGAGACGGCGAAGATGACCAGATTAGACCAAGTGCCCTATTTATAGAGTCCCATACTGCCTAGCACTGGACTGGGGCGGGCAGAACAGCAACTGCTGGGCGGGTGACTCTTTTGTCTGGCAAACAGATATTCTCTACGGGTTAAGTGCGTGAGTAGTGCAAGTAGCCAAGAAAAGAGGCGACAACTTGGACAATGGCGAGCGAGAACCTGATACCGAGGCCTCCTAGGCGGGGTCTACTTATCATGAATGGTTGCGACGTGCTCAGTCTCAGCAACGCGTCAGCCATCACACGTCTCGAATATTGGGCCCATTTATCTTATTTCTTGGTAACTGGCCGCTGCGTGTAAGCTGAATCTCAGATCCAGTATCGGATGGACAAGTCTTAGTGTACCTGCAGAGGATGAGGACCGTGTGGCTGCCAGGGACGCCTCCGCAATGAAATGCGGCCAAGTCTAGTTTGGACTGGACTACTGAGTAATATGTAAACTAAGTAGCTAGTTGATGTCTCTGGATGTACTAATGTACATAGTTATCACGCACAAAGTGGTCGGCGCTGCGACTGTCGCAACAGACTTGCAAGCAAACCAGCACACAAGCACACATACAAGCGCTGGGAAAGGTTGAGCAACCACTAGGAGTGGTATTGAGACTAACAGTCTGCAGTCAGGATTGTCCAGCACGCAACATCTAGACGAAATTCGGTCATGCTGCTCTATGCCATTTCGCCACGCTGCCATGTCCCTCCCAGCGCAGGCTGCCGCCTCTCCGATACTTTGGCCACCCTTCACAGCACCCTTAGAGCAGCGATCGCACTAGTCTGAAAACGATGGGGGCCTGCGCGAAGAGCGGAGGTACCTTGGCTACCGGCCATTTCCACACCTAATTCAAAGTACATCAAGATCCCGCCCGCTAACACCGAGCTTTCTTCCACGCGAAGCCGCCCATCTTTGGCTGCGGCGCGAGGGGGAAGGAAGGGGAGAAATGAAAGGAGCGAGGCTAGAAAGCGATGGAAATCCAGGCGCGCCACTCCTGTTTTTCCGTTCCCCCCCCTTTTTTTTTCTGGCCCGGCTGCACTTTGTTTTTGCTTCTACTTTCCTGTCCTTCCGTCCATTTCTTGCTTTGTCATCATCTCGTCCTGGGACGTTTTTTTTTGGCGCGGGCTTTTTTTTGGTTACATAATTTGACATCGCCGCTTCGCGCAAAACCGGTCCATCTTTTTTTCTTCATCACGTCAGCAAGGTTGAGCGCCGTCTGGCAAAGGAAAACCACGCCTAGTAAAAGACCAGCAGAAGCGTGAGTAATCATCATTCCCGCCTTGCCCCCCATCTGCTCTCTATTCTATTACCTACCCGTTCCTTACCCCGGCGCCCGGCCGCGGCATAGCCGGGCTGCTTCATGGAGATCAATGTGTGCTGAGTCAGAATCAATAGCCATCTCCAACACTCTCTTTCGCCATGTCGTCCAGCGGCGCAAGTAACCAAGGTTAGTAGATTCACTCTTACTTTTTTACTTTTACTCGTCTTTGGTATTCCGCAAGCATCGCTGCAGCTCCCGCTCGCGTTTTATCCTTGCTGCCGTGCGGCGTTTTCATCCTCGCTCATCCCCGCCCGCATCGCAGCATCGCATCTTGTATGAGAACACACCATTTTACCCGCTGCTTCCTCCGCTTCATGGTTACAACATTGCCCATAGTGCATTTGCCGTGTCCAGGGCCGCTTCACTGTGTTGAAAGGCTCTCACTTGGCACAACGCTGTCTTGCTCACCCTCCTTCGCATCGGCCCTCTTTCAGACCGTTCTCAGCCCCAAGTACTAACATGCTTTCGCCACCAACAGAGCAGCATCTGCGTGCCCAGCTTGAGCTCTTGCAGAACCACGAGGCCGAGCAGTCCCCCAGGTCACCCAGCTCCGGCACCCACGACTCGCGCGACGCATCCGCGCGACCGTCAAACGGCTACGACGACTTGCACTTTGCCAGCGTCCAGGACACGGCCGCCCGCGCCCTCGCCACCAACAAGAGCGACGCGGACGCGCACATTCACCCCGACCTGCGCGCTGCCCATGAGCAGCAGCAGCAGCAGCACTCACCAACGAGCACCATGATGCAGCTCGCCCACCAAGACCACCACAACCACAGCCCCGTGTCGGCTGGCGCCCATCAGCAAGGTGTCGCGCTGGCGCCTGCCGACCCCGACGAGGCCATGGATCTTGATCCTGCCGATGGCCGCAAGACTAACAAGCGCGAGCTGTCCCAGTCGAAGCGTGCGGCGCAAAACAGAGCTGCTCAGGTAAGCCATCTGCCGTTCAGAGCCTAGAGCTCCCCCAAGCGCACCAACTAACACTCTGTTTCGCAGCGTGCGTTCCGCCAGCGCAAAGAGGGCTATATCAAGAAGCTGGAGCAGCAGGTCCGCGATTACACGGACATGGAAATGACAATCAAGCAGTACCAGTCGGAAAACTACGCGCTGCGCGAGTATATCATCCAGCTGCAGTCGCGCATGCTCGAGACGGTAGGCGAATTCCCGCCCCCGCCCCCCAACGTCAACCTCGCCCACTCCCATTCGGCGGCGGCGGGAGCGGCCGCGCCGACGTCGGCGGCCCCCGAGACTCAAACGGAGAGCACCACCACCGGCACGCCACTCGAGGCCGTCGCCCAGGCCGTCGCCGGCCTCGCCGCCCACGAGCAGCTGTCGTCGGAGCAGCAGCGCCCGCAGTACACGGCCGGCACCTTCAAGGCCAGTGCCCATCACGAGGACACGCGGACGGCTGACGAGATTAACCGTCACCTCACTGCGGAGGAGGGAACCACGGCGTAGGACCACGCGCCCGTCCTCCAGTTTGTTGATTTTCTTCACAGAGATGATACGCCCACGTCTTGATATTCCCTTGCTTTTTTTTAATGTTTTTTTTTTTTTTTTGCTATCTGCGTGGCGTTTCTGGTTTACGCGCGGGATTAACACCTTTCCCATTTCATCTCCTCTGGCGTTTTTTTTTCCTGCCTTTGTTTTGATACATTGGCCTTGTTAGACGACAGACATCCTTCCTTTTTTTGCTTTCCACTCGGTTGCCAAACATGCCCCCTTTGCAGAGCTTGCTGTCTGGAATAGGAAGAGCAACAAGAAGCAAGCCGAGATGTTGGTATCTCTCCGGAGTTGTTTCTTTTTTTTTTTGTTTTCAAGTTTTCCTCTCACTTGTTTTTGCGGGATGAGAGACGACGTCGAGATGTGGGTTCTATCATGTACATGCCATTAATGCATTTAGACGACTGTTTGAGAGAGCGTTTCCTAAATATAAAGGCTTATTTCCCCTTGTGCATATCACCTGGCATAAATGTGGTACATTTGGTCTCCCTTTTGATGCACAAGAAAATTAAAACTTGGAGAAGGCAAGCTCCTGAATACCCATACATGTCTCTTTTTCTGCACAATACACCAAAACTTAAAACAAAGAACAGCGACAACACCCATCCCCACCGATTCAAAACTCCCGTGTCATAAGCCCGTTCAAGCATACGAATTGCCCATGTCGTGCTCCTACAACATACTGTTAGCAAATCCACACGGCAGATGACAACTGGCGAAAGAAGAAAAAAAAAAAGAAAACCCATACCTTGATGTAATCGGCGCCCTTTTCGAGATACTCTGCGCGCGACACCGTCGCCTGCTTCCAGCCGGCCGAGCCCGTCCACCCGGCCGCGCCGCGCCACGCGTCAAGCACCGGGTCCTTGGCGCGGCGGACACGCAGGGGCGCCTCCGCCGGCAGCAGAGCGCGGAGCCCATCGCGCATGCGCTGGTCAAAGTTGCGGAAGAGCGTGTTGCCGCCAGTGAGGAAGACGTCTTTGAGAAAGTCGTCGACGCTGCCGCCGCCGACGACGCCGGGGAGGCGCTGGGTGAGCACGTCGCCGGCGCTCTCGACGACGCCCGACTGGTCGACGCCGGCAATGGACGGCCGAAAGACGACCTCGGGCACGCGGATGCGCTCGACGTTGAGGTGCACCTGGTAGAGCTCGGCCTGGGAGCCGCCGTTGACAGGCCGAGGCCCGCGCGTAAAGGCGTGCAGCAGCGAGCGGGACCAGTCCAACTGGGCCTCTTGCGTGTTCTCGTACGAAAAGTCGGGGTCGTAGCGGAGCAGCTCCTGCTCGAGGCCGCGCAGGCGTGCCGACAGGTCCTCCTCCTCGTGCTCGTCGTCGCTGTTGTCGCCGACGGTGATTTGGCGGTATACGCCCCAGTCGTCGTCGTCGGCACCAAAGTTGTCGTCGTCGCCGCCACCCGCGCGCCGACGTTTCTTGGTCGGCTGGTCCGAGGCCAGATTGGCGATGCTCTTCATGCGAATCTGCGACGCCAGCGATTTGCGATTGCCCAGGTCCTGCTTGAGGCGGTCCCGTTCCTTGATCTTCTGTAGCGTGGCTAGCCGCGCCTGCCGCTTCTCGTCCAGCCACCCCTCCAGGTCGTTGGTGCGCCGGTCCGTGTCCAAACGCTCCTCCTCCTCGACGCGCGCCTTTTCGGCTTCCTTTTCGGCCTTGGCGCGTGCTCGCGCGTCGTGGTTGGACTTAAGCAGCCGCTGCTGCCGCTTTTGCTTGAGACGCGCCTCGTCCAGCTGGTCGTCCGGGATGTCAAGCAGGTCAAAGTTAGGCGCTTCCTCCTCCTCCTCCGGGTCGCCACCGACATCCTTAATTCTGGCTTTCCGGATGGCCTTGTCCAGTTCCTTGATCATCTTTTCGAGCTGCGCTTCATCCTTAATCTCGTTGCTATCCAAAAGACGTCTCGTCTCCTTCTTGGTTTCGTTTGTGATCTGCTCGTGAAGAGTCTTGTAGTACTCCAGATCTTGCTCCTTCTTCATGAGCTTTTCTAACCGCATCTTGGCGGCTTGCTCCTGCAAACGACGGCCGCTCTCCTTCTTGCGCTCCGCTATGCGTGCCAGTTCCTCTTCCGTCTTTTGCACGACAATCTCCTCTGTGAACGGGTACTGAATGACGATATCGCGGTCGTCGAGGCCGGTCCAGTCCAAGTAACCCTTGATCTCGCTATCGTATGACTCCGAGACGTAACAATGATCCTGAAGCATATGCTCTGCCTGAGAAACATTAAGCTTGGCAGTAAAGGCAGGGTATTTGAGACGGATCAACTTGAGAAGGTATTCGGAGCAATGGTACCCCCCCCAATTTAGTCGCGTAGCCTGGCCAAGCAAACCTTTTGAGTTGTAAACGGGTATAATATGTGTAGAGGTGTAAGATGACGACACCACAAGCCCAGTCTTGCCTTGGTTGTGTCGGTACGAGAAGAGGGAGTCGATGCCGTAGGCTAGCGAAGGCGCATTATAGCATTCGAAAATAATTTCCGTCATTGCTAAAAAACAATTAGAAGGTTTGCACCGACGTCGCGAGGCAGATGCACATACATTTCCGCGAGTATGGAAGGTTAGCGACGGCTTCGGTCATGACAATGGGCACATCAACGCCACCGTCCGAGTCGTTCATGCCAAGCTTGAGGAAAATATAGTCAAGTACATGCTCCATGACGTCCCAGTTGCTGACGACCCCAGTTCCTTGTTCAAAGGCGTTGCGGATATGGCCCCTGGCAGTCGTATCGGCGAAGCAGTCGGCGCCAGCAAAAGAAAACGTCTTGCCAATCTTGCGATCGCGGTATTTAGCCATAATCGGAGGCATACTGAAGCGCGGCGCATCTTCAAACGACCAACCAGCACGAACAGCGGATGATCCTGTATATGGCATTGTTAGCATCAGCACATAATGTTTGCCTCGCTGAGTTGGGCGTTGCGCGCCAGCACGACCTACCATTGTCGATGACAATCGCTGCGTTGCCATTCTGCTCGAGGGCCTTCTTGCGACCTTTGCTGTCTGGGGCGACAAACTTCTCGAAGCGCGTCTCCTTGACGTTGTATATCTTGGCTGGAGTGTACGTATTCTCCGGGGGCTGCGCACCGGCTGGCTGCTCGCTCGTTGCCGAGGGAGCCATGGTGTAGATTTGTCGAATCGGGCGATGCGGTTATGGTCAGTCAATGAACATGTTCGAGCGACGAGGGTGACGAGGAGAGTAGCCGGTGGCGAATTCGAAATGGCCACCTATTCAATGAATGTGGTGGTGGGTGTTTTAAGGTTGCTGCCAAAAGTCGCACGCTCGAAATCGCATGGCGGCCCATACGAGGCTGCAAGGCTGATGGTTCTTGGTGGGTCAAGTACAAGCTTGCTATCACGGCGCGCGATTGAGCGCGTTGAACATGCGTTTTCAGGATATATGATACATATTTTGGCTCATTCAGCTGAAGAAAAAATGGTTATGGAAAATACAAAGTTTTGATTCATGTCATCATAATATCGGCACGCGACCGAGGCTGTGTCCTATTCTGCTTTCCAACAGCGCGTCGTCATTTTAAGATGGTGGCTTTAAATTATCCGTGGCTAAAGGATGTCAATAAAAAAGTTGTGCGATAGAGCAGCAGATGGATTGGTTACCTTCAAGATGAAATAATACATTTGACTGGTAGTTCTTGAACATTTGCGCCACCAACTCGACATTCATGTTTTGGATGTTAATGTCCTTGACACATGGTCAACAACACACGTTCTCGAGATTTACTTTCAAACATACCTGAAGGCTTTTATTCATTACAACGACAGCTTCGTTGAGTTTTTCCTATATTCATGAGCAAGGTCCACGGGGAGAGATTGAGGCGTTGCATACAACATTGTTGATTATTCGGGAGATCAGGAGACTCTGCTGGTGCTCGTGCGGGCTCTCCTGGTAAGGTGTCAGCAATGAAAAGAGTGAGCACATCGAGTTATTGGCAAACCATTTTGAATATTCTTCAAAAAAAAGACTTTGACCAAGTTGCGAAAGTTGGCTAAAAGACTTGTGAATCGCCGCGTCCTGGAACATGGAGGTGCAGCAAGCGGTGAGCCACGGCAGAATACTGATAGCAGCCAGCGCCGCCAACCTCTAATATGACCAGCAAACACTCGCAACGACTGGCGGTGCACTTGCCGCATTCAAAACGGCGGGTATCGTCTCACGACAACCAAATTATACACCACACTCCCGATAACTATCAAAAGTTAATATGGCCGCGCCCACGGAAGCCCAGCTCGCGCACCAGAAGCTCCTGGAGGAGCTCGACACCCACGCGATCCAAAAGACATTTCGCAGCGCGACGTGGAAGCCCAACCAGCGGCGCAACAAGAACCTCAAGGCTATTCTTGGTGACGCCTCTAAGCGGGAAGCCTCGGCGGTGGCGACACCCGCCGACCACAGCGGCGCCGCGACACCCGCCCGCGACGACGGCCTCTCGACGAGCGGCACCTCGACGCCCGCGACGACAACGGGCAACAGTGGCGGCAGCGGCAGCCTCACGGCGGCTCCGAACCTGGCGCAGGCGTCCAGTAGCCTGTCCAAGCTCGTGCTGGAAAAGAGCCTCAAGCCGTCCGGGTTGGCCGCGGCCAGCGGTGGCGGCACCACGCCGGCGGCCACGTATATGAATATCGAGTCGGCCCCGTCGCTGGCGCACGCGAAGCGCTACTGCGACATTACCGGCCTTCCCGCGCCGTACTTTGACCCCAAATCGAGGTTGCGCTACCATAATAAGGAGGTATTTGCGCTGATTCGCTCGCTTCCGCAGAGCACGGCCGAGCTGTATCTCGAGGCACGCGGCGCGCACACCATCTTGAAGTGATGCAACCTTTTGGGGGAAAGGGAATTACGAATGACGGCGCCGATCCTACGAGACCATACTCCCGGCTTCTACGACGACAATCTTTCTACTCTTCGTACCTGCGAACAGCGTGGATCTTACTTGGAGTGTTTGGCCAACGAAGTCAAGCCCCAATTATGCACCCTCGGCCGAGGGGGATGGCAGTCGACGCTCCGGCTTAATCGCGATCATTTGCTCTCTGCATCTAGTTCGACACGTGCCGAGGAAACGTGGGAGGTTCCCTAGTTTCCAGAGATTAGAAAAGACCTTGGCTGTCGAGGCATACACAATATGTAATTATGCGTCATGGATGAATAGAGCGTTGAATGTATGTGTTGGAACCAAGCGGTCCAATTGCAAGAACATGTCTTTTTTTCTCGCCGTGAATGGCTTTTCCCCAACCATGCGCTTCGTGAGCGCGATAGGGGAGGACCTAGTTTAAGGCCAGTGCCTCAATAACTAATTAATCTAGGGTGATTCTATATTATATTACTTCCTAGCTTTATAAAGTTAGTAGTTGTGACAGACTGGCCCCAGAGGGGCTCCAGTGGCAACCAGCACTTCTGCCATCAGTGGGCCTCACGGCGCACAACCCCCTTAGCCATGAGGCCAAAAGGATTCGTAACAACAATACGGATACTGGCTTATTGTTGTCTGGTTGCACCTATAAGGGGCACCCTAGGGGCTCCGCGCCAGCCACTCTGGAAGGACCAGGGCGGGCTTAGTAGCCCAGCCCTTAATAGTAGATCTTTTTACTAGAATCTATATAGATTATTATTACCTAAGTTAAGCTTTTATAAAGAATATTAGAACTTAAATAGTTTTAAAAGCTTTAATAGCTTTAATAGCTTTAATAAAATTTATAGAATTAATAGAATTAATAGAATTAATACTTGGAAAAGTAGAGAAAGTAACTAAGTGATAAATTAATAAACTCGACCTTAATAAGGTATTACTACTATTTTATAGCGTGCGGTATGTAAGGTAAAATAATAATATACTCTCTAGCTAATGTAAATGTATGGCACGTGCACGTGACAGTGTGGTTAGCTGGTTTTAGCTACCTGGTGGTCACTATCCACGCTCGAGTTCAGTGATGACCTAACTAGTTAGTTAAGTTGGCACCATCCATCTCGGGCAGCTCCCTTCTTCATTCTCATCGAGGCCGTCATCATGGTATCTGCTTATCTACTTTCGCAATTGACGCGATGGAAACCCATTTATCAATATCTGAGCCGCCTTTGGCGTTGCGTAATCCCTATCAGAGCACTTGCCGACATGGAACGAGGTGCTGACGACTCCCTATTCCCGCCCGAGTGGGATGCTCAGGCATACCTTGCAGCCATCAACGACATCGACATTCTTCAGCTTGCATCAAGCTACAACATGGGAAAGAAATGCGAGGAATTTGGCAAGCGTACGAGAGGAAGCTTTAACTTCTGCGTCTTTGTCGTATTCCCCGAAGATGACACCAAATGGGTTGTCCGGTTTCCCATATGCCCACTGCTCCATGAACCTTGGCGGAAGTTGCAGAGCGAGGCGGCCACATTGGAGTGAGCAGTACCCTGCTGGATTGACCACTCAAAGCTGACAGGAGCACAGATATCTCCAAGCAAATACGACGATTCGTGTACCAGGGGTCAAGGCCCACGGAGATGGTGCCGGATTGCACCCCAAGAGCCAGGCCAAATTTCCATTCATCATTCTCGAATACATCTCCGGCCGGCCACTCGAGTACAGTGAAATCCTACGCAGTCCACCTGGCGCGTTGAGACCCCTCTTTGCCGAGTTGGGCGATGCTCTATCGCAACTTCGAGCACTAGAGTTTCAATATGGTGGAGCTTTGATGAAAGATGGTACTAATGGGTATACCATAACATCGCCAAACTCCATAGGCTTAAACAGCCTTCAGCTAAAGGGTCTGAGAAGTCATACCCCCCGTTATACAAGCGCCTTGGAGTTTGCGATGTGCCATTTCAAGACCCTACGTCAGCAGTTCAGCCTACCATCAGAAGAAATGGAAGAGTATATCGCTCAGCGTGAGGTATTTGCCTTACAAGACTTCGAACTAAGGCTTTACCAATTCATCGATCCGGCCTTGAATCTCCAACCCTTTGTCCTTTCACACGGCGATCTACGACCGCCGAATATCATTGTGAACGAGGATCTCTCCCTAGCAGGAATTATCGACTGGGAATGGAGTGGAACTGTGCCTGTTCAGTTCTTTAGACCGCCACTGTGGCTTGGAGGAGTAGATGCAACAAGTCCAAGAGACATGAAGTATCGATCCGGATACTCTGAGCTATATGATTCGCTTGTAGATGCTAACAAGCATCCTAATGCTAGTCAGACGCTTGCTAGTGAATGGGGCCCTCATCTCTCCTCAAGCTTGCATCTATTTCTGCCTGCGGCGCTACTTCGAACTGCTCTCTTTATCGACATATACTACATGGCTATTTTCCCCGAATTCTACAAAGATTGTAAAAGAGATGACAAGTTGAAAGACTTATACGAGTCATGTAGCAAGTTTCGTGAGATGGTAAGGGAGCAGATGGAAACTGTCTGTATCTAAGAGCTTTCGACAGAATAGCCAAACACTTGTTAGAGATTATCCGTGCTTCTGCTGATATTCTCTCTTTTGTGCCTCATAATCAGCGATCTCCACTTCCAACTCTTTTATCCTCACTTTAAATTGGCCAATCTGGTCAAGATGTTGCTGCAGTGACTCGCGTAGGTTCAATGTATCCCCATACCCCCGGCGCATTTGTGCGGCAGAGGCAGAGTTCGAGACCACGATGAGCAGGTTCCTTTCTATGCCGGCCACAATAGCGGTTTTATTCTCAAGCTCATTCTTCACTTTTTCCAGCTCCCCCTTGACTCTGTGAAGATGCTCCTGTATTCTTGTTATGATGGCCGCCATTTTGCGCGCTCCGCGAAAGGCTAGAATCAGTCAACACGGAATCGAGTTGATATCTAGAGCATAGAAGTATATACCTTGTTCGAGTTGTAATAGTAGGTTGCAGCGCAAGTAATAGTAGCAATTCAGCAGTTGTTGGATGAGGAAAGTAGCATTTATTATCGGCCAACGCAGGGCAGCCTATCAACCCCGCACGCACGCAGGCAAAATATAAAAAGGGTGGCGCTGCGAACGACATTGTAGTTGGTGTTGTAATTTGTACGACGTTGAAGCACAATCTCTGTTCGCTAAATTACCCAAGACGATAGAAAAAAGTCCTATAAAGGTGCGGGTTGCGAACAAAACACTGGCTACCTTCCATGTGTGCTCAAGCATATTTTGCTTGGTGGCCGATTGGCTGTTCTCCGCGTCATCATCAAATTCCAGGTAGCGCATCGGACTGGTGGAACCTTTTCGAGGTCTTCGACTGTCTAATAATTACAGATATGGAAAAAAAAAAAACGCAGGGATGTTGGGTGCAAACTGGAGAAAAGATTCTCGGACCGAGTATGAGTCACCGCTGACGTTTGGCATCAGAGGCGTAATGTTGGCGGCGGCAAATGGGGTTCGGCTCAAAGACCAGAGTTTATTCATCCTACGCAGGCTTCTATATGTACGTCGATGAGGAAGACGAGATGTTCTTTGGCCACCATCGTGGAGGAAGAGCTCGGTTATCGCTTTAGCGCTGTGAAACCATTTCCCTAATCGGCGAGTCGGCCCGTCCCTAGCTGTGGCTATGTATTACTGTGATGCATATTACAGCGCAAAGGTAGATTTCATCACCCTGAATAGCAAGGGATCGCTCACCTCGAAGCAAATCGACATCTTCATCGGAGATCCTGGGCAAGCTTTTGTCATATTTAGCAAAGATGTAGGCTTCGCTATGAAAGTCGCTATTACACAGCAATCCGGCATGTCTCTAGTTTCGGACCCAGAGAGAGTCCCGTTGACATTCTTCCATGAGTCAAGACATTTTGCACATAATATGTGCTCAGCTGTTCCCACCGTCATTAAGCCAACTGTACTTTTAGATGTTGCACCGTATCCGCGGATCGCTATAGAGAAAGATTTGCCGCGGCCGAATAGGACGAATACGAGTCCTGCAACTCTCTGGCTTTGGGGTGCATCGCACTCAATTACGTTACATGGAACAAAAGACCGTGAGTACTCTTGTTCCGGTATAAATAAAAAAGCAGAAGCTAACCCTTTTGGTAGATGAATTCGAGGAGTCCTCGAGAGAAAGTCACGTCCGGTTAAAGGGAGCTGCCGACCTTTTAAAGGATGTGTGAAATATTGCTATTCCTTCCCACCATACAAACAGTCCAGCAAAAAAACCTCTGTTTAATGTACTTCGCGCTGTTGTCGCGCTGACTTTGCTGCAATACTCTCCTAGTGCTCTACAGTGCCCTTGACATATTCTTCAATATTCGATGGCAAATTAAAGATACTGGATCTTGAGAGTGTCATGTTTCATTACTCGGCGAGTCAAAGGGCACATTTCCTACCTTCGAATGTTCGCCACCTGGTCGGGATATATCTGTCGATGGAGGCATATTGTCAGGATCAGGGTTCTCTGGAAGCAGCGGAATCCTCTGACGGTGAAGGTCTTTGACAAGGAGGGAGACAAAGCTGTACACAAGCAGGTTCATAAAACAAATGCAGCAGTGCCAAAAGGGGGCCAAAAGGGTGTGTAGCGCTCAATGAGAAAACAGTCGAGTGGCAACTCGCCGTAATGGGGGTTCGGCGCTGATTTCTGGTCCATTTCGGATGAGCGTATGACTGATTTTGAGTGTTGTCGCATCCAAGTTGGATGTTTGGACTGATATGAAAACGGGCGTCAGGTTTCCGTGAACGGTCGCATCGAGCGTGGCTGTTGCCTGGGTTCTCTTCCGAACCGTTGTGGCAAATACTTCTAAGTATTGCCAGCCCATTTTTGGACTAAGCAGCGGTAAGTCATTGGCAGAAGGAGGTCTTCGCTATGTGATTGATCGAGGCCGGCTGTTGCCGAGGATGGCGATTTACGCCCTGCGGGCACAGGTAGAGCGAAGGCGGGTGAGCTGGACCGCAGCTATTTGAAAAAAGGCCAACTTATTTTGGCGTCGGATGTCATCGAAACAGGTTGCACTGCAAGAGTGTGTGCCATGGCTGAGAAGCTGGCGATATGCAAAAGTGCATATTCAGACGTTGCACGAGTGGACGCTACCTATGCGCGCTCGTTACTGTGTAATATCGAACCATCAACTCAACAGACCCAAACGGTAGAAAGGTTGACAGAAACAGGTGGATTTTGGATTTGTATGTCTATTGGCTGATTAGGAAAAAGTCATTATTGGCAAGGGAAGCCGAAAGGGAACGGAAGCATGTCGTGGCTTTGCAGTGGGGGAGCGGCGAGCTTATCCGGACAGCGGACGGGGTCACCACCAAATTTAGGGTGAAGGAAATGTGTCCTGGAAATTGGGCGCAATTCGACATCTTCCATATCTTGACCCTTTTTTGACATTTTCGCCCCTCTTCCCTTTCCACGCCACAACGGTTTTCTGGTTTCGGCATTGTACTTTTTTTATTTTCTTTATTTACTTGACGTGTTTCTCACAGACTTTGCCCGCAATCATGTCGTCCATGTGGCTTTCAGACACGCAGAGTACGTGTTGCGCCTCACGTCCCTTGGTAGCCCGGCAGCCGCTGCGGTGCCACTCCAGCCAACGGCGCGGTGATGGTGATTCTACATGAAGGAAGCTGACCGTGTCTATAGAAATCGGCGTTGTTTTCTGCTCGGGAGGTACGTTGCGATTGCGAACCCGTCGCCGGCGCAAGGCTGAGCGGCGGCTCGGCCCTCCTTCGCGTGCCCCCCCCTTGCTAACCAGTCTGTTCCCAGGTGGTCTGTTTCTGGTTGGAGGAGTCATGTTCTTCTTTGACCGTGCCATGTAAGTCGCCTACGATGAACCAGACCTGAGCCTACGCGCTAATCGTCCTCGCAGGCTTGCCATGGGAAATGTACGACGCACGCCCGAGCTAGCCTTCCCCCCTCGCCTCGGCCAACGTTCGACCCCTCGAAACGAAAGAAATACGCTGACCGCGTCCTGGACTGCAGATTCTCTTCCTCATCGGCCTCACCATCATCATTGGCCCCCAAAAGACACTCGCCTTCTTCGCGCGCAAGCAAAAGGCCAAGGGCACGGCCGCCTTCTTCGCCGGTCTCGCGCTCATCCTCCTGCGCTGGACGATTGTCGGCTTCATCATCGAAGGCTATGGTATAGTGGTCTTGTTTGGTAACTTCCTTGGAACGATTGCGGGCTTTGCGCGCGGCATCCCCGTCGTCGGCCCGTACATTGGCCTCGCCATTGATCGCTTAGGTGTCGCCCGCACCAACGCGGAGCTCCCCGTATAGGAGAGCATGTGCCGGCCCAGCAAAGCGAAAACAGAGACGCGAAGCGGCGCGTTTTTTCAGCCTTCATCCTTTCAATTCGAATTTCAAAACTCGTCCCAAGACCTGCGTACCACATCACAACACAGACCGGTCGGAACGGGTCTATTTCAATACTATATTTTTTTAATCAACAAGTGGCGTCCTCGGGAACAAGCCGCTGACCTTTCAAGTACGACGGAGATGAATCAAAATAAGCGAGAGTGGCATATCGGACGTGCAAGGAAAATAAACGGCGTTGTTTACTACAAGATACTCGACAGGAAGCTACTGCGTGGCTTTGTAGAGAGCACGGCGCAAGGTTTCAAAGGTTTTCATGACCTGGAGGTTCATATCACACATAGGGGGAAAATGCTGCAATGAGAGCAATGATTATCCATGCTAGAGATAAAAGTACGAAATAGCAAAACCGCTATCTCCCCGTGAAGCTACAAAATCGAATACAACAGTCAAAAGGTAGATCGTTCTATTTATTACTCCCTCACGACACAGATGGCTCGTTTTCCATGATTGTAAATATGCACAATTTTTGACTGGCTTCTCATGACAAAACATGATGTCCGGTCTGCATTGGACGTGCCTTTAGCCATCCATGAGGACATGATTTGAGGACTGTCCAGGCGACGGGACTGACTATCGCTTTAAGATTGGCCCATTCCACCACTGACCCGACCAGGTTGATTTTTTTCTCGTCTCGGTTCTACTCTCGTTTAGTAGCCCTGGCCGATGAGGTAGTCGGCGAGGCCCTCGACGGTCGAGCTGGCGTTGCCGGCAATCTGGGCCTCGCCGTGGTGGCCGACAACAATGGCCTGCTTCGTCTTGGCAACGGCGACACCATCGCGTCCCTGTTACTCGGGTCGCAGAGCTGTGGTCAGCCACGGGGTTGTTTTGTAGAAAGTCTCAAAGGACGGTGTGGTGAGTAGGACGAGGGGGTGGGTAGCGGAAGGTCGCTTACGGATCGCGCGTAGATGCTTCTGTCTTCGGCTCTGGCCATGACGTATCGGACACCGCCGATAAAGAGACCCTCGGCAAAGGCCTTATCCTTGGCGGCGCTGTCACCGCCGACAATGGCGGAAATGGCCTTCATTTCCTCGGGCTTGAGCTGTTCATCCCCCCGGGAATCGCGTTAGCCACCTGACCAACGTGCTCGGCTTCTCCGCCTCTTGGGGTTGTCGCCTTTACCTGAAGATCGGCCGAGGCAGCCCAGACGCTGTCGCCAGCGGCACTGAGAATGGCGCCCTTGTCGATGTGACCAGTCCCGACGAGGCTACATTGTTCCCCCATTGCGTTAATATGGATTCATCTTCATCGGCAGACTCGGCAGAGTGGTATTTTTCGTGTCGGTGCGTCATCGAAAGGAAGAACGGTGCTTTTTTGTGCAAAAGTAAATACCTGGTATCGATGTATGCTGCAGCGCGAGACGTTGCGGGTTGCGGTTAGCGATCTGGGACGTTGCTGCGAGTGGGCGCCCTCTTCCCGCGGCGGGGAGGGGCAGACGGCAGACGAGAGCATGATAGCTGCCAGTCGGTGGAAGATTTACCTTGCCACGACATTGTGAGGTGGAAGTGATAGAGCGCGCTGCAGAGCTGAGGAGCGGGAAAACAAAAAAAGGGGAGGGAGCGAAAATGAGGAAGCCTTCTTATGCCAGGAGCGGGAAGAATGAAGCAATCACGAGAGTTGGCGTGGTTTGTTTGTGCAATGTCGAAACAAGGCGTATTGCCCCTCACTGATCAGTCGAGCCACCAACTTTTGCTACCAGCCGGGCATTTTGTGGCGGGGCACTGAAAGGTGGTAGCTCGCAAGTATCACACCGCGTCTTTTATTGGGAGAGTGACTTTCCTCTTTCCTTGGCACGTTGGCCAATGTGAGCTGAGCAGAACCAAACAACCCCACCAATTTGTTGGCACGTTATTTTAGGCAGCACGGCTCCCATCAGTTTCGGCCTCTGCTTTTCCTTCACCCTTCACCACAATCTTCAGGACAAGGACGCATGCGCACCAAACATGACAGGTCTTTTCAGGCATGATTTCTTTACTTCTGCGCCATGCACGCACTCTGTCGCATCTGACTATGCCCGCGTTGGGCGAGTTTGCGAGCATACTGGAGCTTGACACGGGCTTCTCCTGCGATGCTACGCCGGCTCGAGCCCATGTCGCTTTGCTTTGACAAGGTTTCATACTGGTTCATGGCCTTGATCCAAGGTGCAAGTTGCCATGCTGGCTTGTGCAACTCGCCATGCTGGCTCTTGAGAAATAAATTATAGGGAATTTTCCTATGAGAGATAGCAGCCACCCGAGAGGGCAATCGGCGACCAAGACTGAGCACCAAGATACTAGAGCAGCCGCGTAGATACCTGACCGGATTGTCTTGGCAAGATAATGTGAAAATTCTAGCTTTAAAGCCGGCAAGACTAATAAGTACCATGTGCATCGAGCAACTCACAGTTTGCACCTACATTGTTTTGTGCGCATCGCGGCTTTACACTTCTTGCAGCTCATTGAAAGTTTCTTAGAAAATGGTACCGAACACACGAGGATCAGGATAGGTACGTCGTGGGGCATGGCCAAGACGTTAAATCCCTATTTTTGGATGATGTTGGCGAGACAAAGCGGTCTCGCATATCCGATGACGGACAGCGTCATTGGGCTTGTAACAGAAGCATTGGTGCGCATTAGCTGCACCTTGCCTATATAAATCTCTATTCTCAGCAAACTGGCCAACTTGCCAAGTATGCTGTTGTCGCTGGTTTGAGCAGCGAGAGGCCAACTAGGTACTCAGTATGATTACGAGTTCATGCAGAGGTGCAATAGGCGGGATGACCGCTAAAAGCAGAGTGCTGCCCTGAGTGGTTGCTCTGTCAAGCCTGAGGCTCAGGCTACGAGGCTGAAAAATGCCCGACAGCCATCGAGTCAGTGACGGCTCACTCTCGTCGAAACAGTCATCCAATCCAAACAACCCCAGTCCCTGCCTACATTGCCCAGGCGTTGCAGGGAAACGACAATCTAGAAGGACGCCCAGTTTGCGCGACGTCGGAGAGTAAAATGAAGGGAGCGAGAGCGCGACACAGGCGTTGTTTCTTGGGACATGCCGAGCGACGTTTCTGGTGCGGTTTGAAGAGGATGTGGAATATCAACATGGCAATCTGCGGCAGATGCGAGAACGGAATCGGTACATTTCTGATAGGGCCGCAAGGGGGCCGCGCTTACAAGGTTGAGCATCTATCGTCCGGTCCGACGTGAAGTCTTTGACGGCAAACGGCATCGCGAGCCAGGTGCGGGGGATTGGGCTCGGACATGATGAGTCGATGACTTCCTGCCTAGGGAGGCATGCAAGCATGGAAGGACTGCGGAACCCCCGGCGGGAAGACTGAGCAGAAAAGACGGGATTATTACGGAGTACGGAGGACCTGCGTAGGGAACGGCCCTATCTGAGGAGAAAAAAAAAACGTGGCGCACCAAGGTCAGGCAAGGCCATAAGAAAGAAAAAAGAGGCTCTCACCACGCAGGTCCGAGTGGCGACATGCTGCCCTGATCAGCGCTGGCTTGGCCCATGCCAAGGAGGGGCCTTTTGGAAGCATTAGCATGTCAGCGCGGTCAGCTGTTTTAGATTTGCGTTGCTCTTTGATTTTTGCGGGTTCGTCGAGTCTCTTTGGGGTTGCCGTCCTTGTACGTAGATTGGCAGAGTGTCCCCTTGTATTAATCTCAAACATGCCGCCGCCGTTTGGTTGTTGGAGAGAGGAGGGGGGGGGGGGTGCCCTTGTGGATCGTCGTTTGTGGTGCATTGCGAGGTCACTCGACATCGCCGACTCGCAGCAAGACGGTGCAAATGGTGCAGATTGTGATACCGATTCTTATATTGGAGGGGGATTGGAGGATCCTCTGGTCGTGAGAGGCCCCCGTTTGTTCCAACATTGCCGTTTGCTTCAAGTTGCAGATGGGCGTTCTAAGTATGGAAATATTTTTGGCGAGTTTCTGTGTGGCTTGCCTTTGTCGAAAACCTAGTAGCAGGTACATAGGTACCTAGTTGAGGCGTCCAACGGTGTGGCAAATAGCAGCGATGTGTGGCTCCGTATTCCGTATTCATGCCCGTTTCTTTATGCAAAGACAGCCAGCGTAAACAAGGCATGGAAACGACTTTTCAGTGATTCCCAGTCGACCAGCTTTTCTTGTCCAAAAAACATCACTCGTCTGGACTGGAGACTGGACTCATCGGCAGACTCCTCCACCTGTCCCCTTCTTCTCCTTATTGTTCTTTTCGCTCTGGGGCCGGGTCTCTGTGCAAACATGCGCAACCTGCCTAAACTGGACGCAGCCAACGAGTCCAAAAATCTGAAACGGTGGTGGGAAGCTGACCAAAGAAGGAGGGGGGGAGATCCGTGCCGAAGCGGCTTATACTAAAGATTACCTAGTAGTTATCAATTCTATATTCTAGTGTTACTATCCGTATGTACTCAGTAGGTACCTAGGTGGTTATCAATTCCGGTGTGCAATCGCCCCTCCAGAACAATTGTGTTGCAGTGTATCTCTCTCTATTTCTCCTTCTGATGCTCGGCCCTTCCATCCCTACCTAGTACTCGGTTTGCCTTTTCGTCCATTCTAGGCCAACAAATTAATACTACGAATTATGAACCCTCCCACCGTCAATGCTCCTGCATTTTCTTCAGCACAACCCTTTCTGCTCTGCTCTGCTCTGCTCCTCGCTCTTCCCCTTCCCGCTGGGGACGAGCGTCCCGCCCAGCCCTAGCAGGGATGTAACTAGAAACTCAGTTTGTGCCCTTTTCGAAGATGGAGCATAGCATGGTGGTGGCCCCTTTGTCTGCTTTTCTTGTCCACTTGCTGTGTGTCAAAAAAGTAAAATGCGCCAATGTTGACACAGGCCCGGCGTGCGCGCGCTGTCGTCGTCAAGTAGATGAATCGAGACCCCAGCCATGCGTCACCCCCGGCACCCGTGGGGGGGGGGGGGGGGGCAGCCCAGGAACCGAACCCTCTACACCCTGCCCATTTTTTTCCTGGAATCGCCTTTGGTTTCCAAACTTGGCATGTAAGCGTGTGCATTTCTTCATCTACTACTTACTGCTTCTCCTGCTGCTCCTGCTCCTGCTCCTCCTCTTCTTTACCGCCTGTGACGTTTGGGCACGTACATGTGCATGTCGTGGTGGTGTCGTGGAATCTTGCATACCGACCAACCCTGGCTGCAAACGTACTTCAACACAGGTGTCACCGCTTCGCTCACTTGATCGCTCCCCATCTCCCATCTCCCGACGCTCCTTTCTCTTTTTTTTCTTGTTGAGCAAATAGAAGCCCGGTTTTCTCATCTTCAATTCGTCATAATCGACTCAAACAGTCCCGGCGCATCTCCACTAGCATGTCGACTTGACACCGGCCGCTTACACCCACCCGTCAGTCACCTCGATAGCAAACGGCCACGAGACACAATCTGCGTTTACATCATGCGTGCCGTGGCGTCACCCAACGCGCACTATACGAATTCTCCTCTACACTTTCCTATGGAGAACCACCATGACATTGGTGTCGCCCTAGGAAGCCCGACGACCGCGCCGGTCCCTGCCCAAGACTCGAGCAGGGTTCCCCGGACCATGACGACCATGACGTCCCCGGCCGCCGTCGCTGAGCCGCAGCCGCCGCCGCAGCCGCAACAAAAGAGCACAGCACTATCTCGCCAGATTTCCAAGCGTCTCCCTTTTCTCGGCCGCTCAAAATCCAGACGAAGAAACTCTAACAATGGTGGCGTCAACTACTCGCGGCCATGCACAGACCCTAGCCACGCCAACTATATAACCGCTTCACCCACGCCTCCTACACCTTCGCCGTCTGTTCCCAATGCGTCCCTTGCAAACCAGAGCCGCGCCCGCTGTGACGGTGCCAAGCTCAAGAAGCCAAAATCGTATGCGATGCGCGCGGTAACCGATCCCCAGCTGCAATCTTCAAACGGTGGTATGCAGCAAACACCGGCGTGGAGGCCCGGTCAAGGGCCGATACTGGATGTTGAGATTCCCGACATTAGCTTTGAGCGCTACAGTGTCATGTTTGGCAGCCTGATCGAGAAGCAGCAGTCGTCGGGCGGTTTGTTGGCACGTCGCCAAGCGGCACTTGCAAGAATCAAGGCCCATGAGGATGAGGGTCGAAGAGAGCACCATGTCGAGTTGCAACGATCTCGACGGGCTACTTCGCCATTCCTGCCACCAGCTCAGTCGCCGGTAGCGGAATTGCAGGGTGACTCGGCCCCTGGCATTAATATTGTACCACTACGACTAAGATCGAATACGTTCCCGATGATTGCGAGAGAAGCAGAATCGCTATCACCACAAGCGTCACCTCCCGAAGACGAGATTGATTCGCCTGCAACCTCCATCTTCTCACCCGTCAGCCAGTTCTCTCCCCAACGAGACAGCGACGGCCGTCCTCTGTTGCACTCCAGGTTCCACAAACCGTCCGTCGAGTCGATCCACAGCCCGTACTTTCGGCACGCCACCGAGCGCGAGAACGGCACCGTCCTCTCGCCTCCCCCAGGTCTCCACCGCCGCTTCCCCGATGGCGGTGGTGGTGGTGGCAGCAACGCTGCGTCACCATCCTACCCCGCGATGCCGGTCATGGGTGTCGCCAAGCAGGTCGACATCCCCAGCCGGTCAACGTCGCTGCGCAACCTGCACCGGCTGACGCCCGCCGCGCCGCGGCCCAATCCCAAACCCGCCAGCCGCGAGGAGGCGCTCGAGGACGCGGCCGAGGTGTCCATTGCCCGGCAGATTAGCATCTCGCGCGGCCAGCGCCGCTTTCTGGAGCCGCTGCATGAGCGCGAGCGCCGCCGTGCCCGCGCCAACAAGCACATCAAGGCCGCCAGCCAGATATCCCTCGACGACGGCAAGCGCATCCGCGAGACCAAGACGGCCACGCCGACCCTGGTCCACCCCGAGCCTCCGGGTAGCAGCGATGGAGGCGACGGCGGCGGAAGCCAGCTTCAGTCGCCGCGGCAGCACATCCATCGCCGAAGCGAGCTGGTCACTATTGAGGGGGCATAAACAGGCGGTCAGCAGCAGGCCTCGCCGGCCAATGGCATCAAGGGCATGACAGATCTGAGCAATGCTCTCGGCTGTTTATACCCTCCATCGTCTGCCGGCATGCTCGTCTGGGCCCTGTTTCGAGATGAGACGGACTACGATGGCCCCATGCATAGCATAGACGGGCCCTCGCATAGTTTGTCCTGCGTGGTCTGGATCTCCGTCCCTGAGCATTCGGAACCAAGAAGAAATCTTTTTGCCTTTATAGGAAAGGATTCAACGTCATACGATGCATACGACTCTATCTTCCATTCTCTACGCTCCCTTGTCCCCTGGTTCGGCGAATCATTTTCTTGTCTTGATGTCATGCTCCGCTGGCGGAATTCCTTTTCTCTCCTTCATGTTTCTTATCAGTCTTGATTTTCTTTTTCGGTAGCGACGGCACACATCTCATACATATCATGAGATATCATACTCGAGGTCAAAAAAATCTTGTTTCTTTTTTGTGTATTCTCATGTTCCAGGTTTCTTTTCTCGCAACATTAACTACCTTAGTGGTGATGTAAACAAGTCTATTAGACTCGGATGAGTTCTTCTGCTAAAATAAGAAAACCCGGCAAAAATAAAAGCTGGCCAACGACCGGAACGCGTGTCATGCGTCGAAAAAGTCAAATGTGAAATGTGACAAAGTCGTAGCATAAAGTGACTGATGGCAAACTGGGTCGGAATGAATGAAATGGAAATTCTGAAACATTTCGAGTATCCAACGCCGAACAAAAGGATTGACCGTTCCCCCGCGGCCCCTCTACATGAGGACGCAGCACGAGTTTTGCTTCTTGGCTTGTTCTGTAACAAAAATGTAAGCTACTAGTAAGCCGCTTTGCTGCTTTCTGGCTCGGCTTTCCACCATATCGGCGGCGTCCTCATCCATGGCAGACGGGCCAAAAAAGCTAAAAAACAGAGGCCAAGAAGAAAGGGTTAGGATACTTACGGTAAAACATTTTACTCTGGGCGCTCAGGCCGTCGCTCTTGGCCACCAGGTCGTCAATCTTCTCGCCGCGCTGCAGGACGCTCTCAATGGTCTTGTGCAGCACAATCTTGGTCTCGTCGAGCTCCTTTTGAATCTTCATGATGCTGTCGGCCTGCTGGGGGTCCTGGTACTTGGCGAGGTACTCCTTGAGCTCTGGCATGAGCAGCGTCGGCTGGCCGCTGGACCACGACGAGCGCGGGTTCTTGGCGAGGAACTCGTCGACGACCTTGCTGAGGACCTGGTGCGCGACGAGCGCGGGGTACTGGTGGTCCGAGATGATGATGCCGCAGACGCCCTCTGTGCGGCCGTATGCGTGAAAGGTGTAATCTGTTTGCCGGGGGAGCCGGGGGTTGTTCATTAGCCAAGTCGCGCTTCGGCGCATTTGTTGCCAATGCAGGGGGTTTCCGGTCAATAGTCACCTTGCTCCTCGACATCTTGGCGCTGGCCCGGTCGTGTGCGCTCGGCGACCGTCTTTGCGAACAGCGTCATGAACTCGCCATAGCTGCATGTCGGTTAGCGGATGAACTTGCTCGTGGTTCTCGTCGCCCCCCTTGGCTGCGGCATGGGAGAGGGGGTCCTCCGGGTATGGCTAGACAATCGACTTCGACAGCGGGCGGCGGCGGCGTACTTGTTTCGTGTGAATCGAGAATATGAGCTGAGCTCTTTTTCGGCAACAATCTCGTGCGCGGGCTTCTCCTCGTTGCGGATAATCTGTTGGGGACGCCTCGGTCAGCTTGGGAGCCCGCGGCTGTGATGGCGCGGAGTTGGGGACAACATACACCAATGTAATGTAGCTTCATGATGACGGATAAGCCGGGAGGACTCTGTCTGTAAATATTGCGACGTCGGCTATGGGTTTTCGCTGGAGAAGCAGGAGATGGGAAACTATGCAGCCTAATAGAAACTACCAGGTAGGTAGCAACGGAGCGACGAGTCGGTGACGGCAAGTCTAGAGTCGCATCTCGTCACATGCCCCACGATTCGAAAACCCAACCCCTCCAAGACCAGGCCCTGGCAGGGGGCTTAGCGTACCAGTAGTGGCAAACCACTGCTGGTGGACAGTTGGCGTTCAGTGGCTCGATGTGCTGTGAGTATGGGGCAAGACCGGTTGTGATCACGCTTCCAGGCAGACAATGAAAATAAGTAGGTATGCGTTGTGAGTGATGGTTCTTTAATGATGCAAAAATTCCACTGGTGAATTAAGTCTAAATGGTCGTCAGCAAGTTTACTTCTGCTTGGGACCATCAGCGGCATTGACTGCTTCCACTGAAGCAGGCACTTGGGTACATGTGTAGTTGACAAAGCTTCCGAGGAATAGGTATAAAAATTGGGGATCAGAATGTAGAAAAAATAAGAGAAAACAGCTATAATCAAGATTTCCTATATATCAGCATAAAATTAGCCAACAACCTCCACGATGTCAGGCATATGCTGACCCGCCTCCCACCTACAGGTTATGTGCGCTCCTGTGCTGCCAGGTACATACCCAGATTTAATCGTCTCTATCGCTATTATGAATGCACTTCATAATCATTCTAACATACCAAGGACGCAATACTAAAATTGAAGTGATAACGCACCACGTCTTATACGGTTATGGTAAAAGTCTTGCCCAGGTTCTTATCGGCAGGAAACATAATTAAATCTCAGAATACGAAAGGAATTCAAAACAACAAAGAAACGACAGTTCATTCATCCCAAAGCCTCCCACCGATTGCTGTTCAATACGACACCAGCCTGCGCGCCCTTGTTCCCATCCGCACCCAGCATCTGCGCACAGTGCTTTGCGTGCCCATCATTCTCATAGCGCAGCTCCAGCATGGTCCCTCGACTCTTTGCGCGAATCGACTTGCGCCAGTAAAAGAAGCAGTGCATCAAGTGCCACCGGTGCGTCGTGTAAAACGGCCCGCCTCGCGGCCGGTCAGCGAGCGCCCCCAGGTCCTGCACCGCGATCGCCTTCGTGTGCTGCGCGTCGGCCCAATACATCCAGGTGCCGTTGGGACCGTCTCCAAAGGCGTCAAACTCGGCCGTCAGCTCGTCGTCGCGGCAGTGCGGCGGCAGCCACGCGGCGGCCAGCGTGTCGTATTGACAGTTGAGCTCGACCGCCTGCGCGACCGAGTCGCCGCAGTTGCACCCGGGCAGCGCAAAGGAAACGCCAGAGCCCGGAGCTGATGCATGTTGGAAATGGGTGACGGAGCTTTGGAAGAGTGTAATGAGAGTGGGGATGGCAAGGCCAAGGAGAATGAGGTCTTTCAGCACCATGGTGGACTTGCGACACACAGAAGACACTCTCCTAGTGGTCGAGGAGCGAGAGACGAATGTTTGACCGGCATCATTCTGCTCAAGGAGAGTTTCTTCCTCCTCCTTCATTGCGCCAAGTCTCCCGCTTCTTTGACAGTGTTAGTAGCTTATCTGAAGCATAGATTGGTAGTGTATAAGCGCCTTCTCACCTTTGGAGCTCGAGATATCGCGTGGAAGCCATTTTTTAATATGCAAAACAGACGTGACCGGGTAAGGCTACAATGCCAAGTCAAGATTTGGGGAATTGCAAGTATTCTTCTAGGCGAGGACCGCACTTTTTCCTGCGAGATCGGAAGAGGCAGCTTGCACCAAGAACGTACACCGCATCCATGCACATTCATCCGCGTTTCAACAACGGGCCCAACAACGGGCCCGGATGGCCTACACTCTGTGCAAGCTTATCAAAGATACACTAGTGATGCAGTGACTCCGGAAACTAGAAGAAACAGTGCATATCGTGTCACTTTTCGCTTCCTCGATCCCGCTCTCCCGGTGTTATTGTGTAGATCTTCGCCACCGCAGCTCTTGCAACACTCAGCCTGGTCCGCGAACCAGCCATTGCTGCCATGCTTGTGCTACATCCGAGCCCGAATTGGAACATGTTGCCTCGCGACTTAAATTAAGGCAAAACGGAACCTACATTGAAACCATGCTACAGAAAGCTTATCGCTTGGAAAACCCGTGTTTGTCTGTGGCGGTAGCACACCAACTTCGTCCCGTTGACCGAAAATTTTCCACCTGAACCCTCGGAACTTGCTCATGCAGGCCTTGACGACGTTGCTCAAGAATTCGAGGAGTGGTCTGATTCGGAAGCTTGTATCCTGCAGTGAGCCTTGCCCTACCCAAACCTTGATACCAGTCGCGGCAACTTGCCTCAGTGGCGTCCGAAATCGGGACCCCAGGACAGCCGGGCAATGTATATATAAAGACGAAGAAAACCCTGGAGAAAATGAATCGATTATAATTGTCATTCAGATACTACAAAGCTAGTTTCCTTACGAGCTGCCGAAGTTACATTACGACAAACCCTAGCTATTACAAGCCGACATCCTTGCCCGTCAATCTGGTGTGTACAATACCAACCTGTTCTGACATTGCTTGCTTTCGGGAAAGTACTCGGCCATGAGAACATCAACTGACCTCTATTCTCAGAAAAAATGAGAGTTCAAAACTTCATTACCGCGGTCTTTGCCACTGCGTGCTCGGCAACCCCGATGTACTCGGGACACGACAGCCATGCAGCTGCAAACTGGCCCAGCCAGTCTGCAAAGCGACATGAGGGTCATGCCATGGCCAACTGGCCAAGTCAGTCTGAAAAGCGAGATGATGGCCATGCTATGGCCAACTGGCCAAGTCAGGCTGGAAAGCGGGATGATGGCCATGCTATGGTCAACTGGCCAAGC